TCTCCCCCCTGAAGAAGCGGGCCGGCGGCTCCAACGTCCTGCTTCGCATCGACTACAGCGACGATCCCGGCTACTGGAACCATATCGTTGCCGCTGCTCCGACCAAGGTGAAGCGGTCAAGACGGGAGATGGAGGAGGAGGTCCAAGGGACGCACGGCGGGAACTACCACCAGTATCTGTACCACTTGTGGACGGTGGACAAGCGGTCTACGCCGGAGGACGAACTACACGACCTGCACGCGCGTTGGTTTTCCAAGTCAGGCGCCATCAAGGACTGGATCGACCGGCTACACAACGTCGACACCGAGTACGAGCTGGTTAGGCACACGGTCAACGAGCAGTTCCGCTGGAACATCTACGATGAGTCCGTGTTCTGTAACATCAAGGGCGTAGACACGACGGGCTACTTCACCGCGTGGGCGGATCTCAACGTCAACATCCAGTCGTCGGCCCTCGTGACGCTCATCGGAAATCTGCAGGACCTTAACTCCTTCGACGAGTCCCACGTGCTGTTCCGCAACAGCGGTTCCGTCAAGGCATCCATCAACGTCGAGGCCCTCGCCCGCCTCGAGTTTCTCACGGGCGAAATCGAACTCTTCGGCCTCGAGAACTTTGGCGGCACCTTCACCGTGCCCGGCATCGTCACCATCGGTCCCAATTTCCGCGTGCTCGGCCAGCTGCAGGGTTCCGCGACACTTCACGGAACCGCGCGCGTCGACCTCACCCTCGCAGAGTGGGACTACTCGCAACAATACCCTGACGCCGATGGCGGCGCCGGCGCCGGCGCCGTGACGGCGGCTAAGACGCCCAAAGCGGCCGGTATACGCTCGTCAGACTCGCAGGCAGCGCTGCAGGCCCCAAAGTTCTACTACGACGTTGACGCATCTGGCGAGTTGACTTTGTCAGTGGTGCCAAAGGTGACGCTGGGCATCGTTTTCAAAGACGAATTGGTTTCGGACGCATCCGTAAGTGAAAAGAATTCACTTGCCCCTGCCGTCGAATTCAACCTTGAGCCAAAGACAAGGACCTCATCTTTCTGCTGCTAACTGGCTATTCTCACAGATCGACTTTGGTGTGAATGGTCGAGTCACCTTATACGGATCGGCCGGTTCCAGCTCCAACGCGGCATGGGAATACTGCTACGGCGTCAACGGAGATGTTGAAGTCTTTGCCCAACTGAATGCTCCGTAAGTCCTCGGCCCTGGATCGCCTGCTTCTGTTTTCTTTCCGTAACCTGATGTCGCTGATCGATGAACTAGAACGCTGTTTGGCAAAAACATCAACACATATTTCCCAATATGGGGAACTGGATTGGTAGCTTTCTCTCTTTCTCTTTCACTTTCTCGCATTCCCACTTGTTTCATTACTGTTTCTTATGTTTATACATATCTATCCAACATGTTGTCTCTTCATTTACTAATAACACGTGCGAGCCTTAGTTCCCCATTGTCCAACAAACCTGCGCCGCAGCCGCTTCCTCAGTCTCGAAGACGACCTCAACGGTCCAGCCGGCCAGGCTGATCAAGCGCGGCGACTTTATCGGATCACTTATCTGCCCCGCATCGTCATCGAGCTCAGATGACGTGACACCGTGCCCTTTCTGCTGGGAGTCCACTACTGGCGATGGAAGCAACAAGGTCCGGAAGCGATACGGTTACGTGCTGGAACAGCGCGCCGACGATGCTTGTGAGTTGCTCGCTCCGAGCGACCCTGGCAGCCCCAGCTGCACCGTCAACGACCTCACGACCCGCGACACCATCCTCCGTCGTCTCGATAGAAAGAAGGTGGAAGTCAAATACGGCGCCACCAACATCGTCGTGGACTTTGGGCAGTTCGCGACCTGCGGGGAAGCCAGGGTGAGCAGCAATATTCTCAAGTCGCTGATATTCAGCACAGAGGGCCGGCGGTGTAACGCCAATATCTTCAGGGCCACAAATAGAGAGGCTAGAGACGTCAAATTGAACACCGACCACGTCTACGAGGCGCAGACTCTCACCGAGTTCTTCATGTGGCTAATGAGAGGGCCCAGCGTGACGGTCGGCAGCTACACCATGCCGACGGCGGAATGGGTGCTGGAGGTGTTGCTGGGTGTCGACATCCCAGGGACCCAGCCGTACTCTTTCATCATGAACACAGCGCCTCTGGGCGTGAACATGCCTCCGGCGACGCTGGAAACTGTCATGATTTGGGGTTTCGGGCGGTCCGATGGCGTCGGCCCCTCGCCCTTCACCAAAGCACGCGGCGAGTCCCACCTGGTGCTTGTCGACGAAGTGGTCAACAACATCAAAGGAACATTCATGAAACTGCAAACTCCATCCGTGTTACCCCGCGAGAAGACCCTGAACAATTATCGGACCAAATACCGCCAGGTCTTCGGCGTATTCGAGTACCTAAGGTGGTCACCCCCGAGTGGCACAGCGGGTTCGGGTCCTTTCCCGGTCGTCGAGCCTGTGTGGAATAAATGGATGCGCGTGTCCAACTGGTTCGACCTGGTGCTTTGGGAGTTTGATAACCAGTATGCCGGACGGTGGAACGAAAGGTCTGGGGCACCCGTGAACAGCAAGGGCAGCCCTTCACTCCGCGCTCTCTACGCTCGGTACATTGAAGATTATCTCTTGTCCATCGAACAGACAGCTGCTAGCCAGAGCAACGAGGCCAAGGCCAACTACGAGGCCGAGTTCAAGAGCGTCAATGCATTGGGGAACGTGGTATGGGCTAACACCGACGACCCGGGTTGGTTCGACGCCGCTTTCGGCGCCGGAGGCTGGGCCAGTCCGGCCGGGGCCAGGTTTCCGCGCCCAGGATCCGGGGGCATAGGATGGTCCATTTTCGGCGCTACCGGAAATCCTGCCCAAACCATCAACGGACAAGGCAATGCGATCAACATTGGTGCTCCGGCTCGCATCTAGAAGATAATGATGTTGTTTTTGTTGTTTTTTGATGCTCTTGTTCAGCGGTTGATTGTTGGACGGCTCCTGTGGCGGGAGCAGTTCTCAAATGTGTACTTCTCAATAGATACCCATTCTAGCACCTGTAATTCTGTACAACGCCTGATTCAAGTGGCAAGTATGTATACAGTCATGAGTATGAAGTCTTCATTTGACGCGCTTTCGACTAATCAAGGATCAACTTCTACGGCACGTGAGATACATGCAGAAAAACTAGGTTCAGTAACCACTTAAGACATGTTTCTTTCCTCAAAATTCCATAACCTTCCCGACTGGTCTAGTGTAAAGAAGCGTGGCCACCTCTTTCAACATCAGCGAGGTGTAGGCTGTCGACACTGCCCGACTGATAAAGGCGAGCAAAGGGTCTAGTCTACATCGGCAGGTCCACCCTATCGTCTGCTCCTCGTTCACGAGCCTTCTCTCTTTCAAAATCGAATATGCCGTCGGGAAGGAAATGCTCATAGAAGGTTCTTACTCCGTATCGGGAGGAAATTAACACCGACTTCCCCAGCATTTCAAACGCGATCTTATCCCAGTTGAGTGGCAGTGCTTCATCGTCCTCGTCGTCCCCGTCCTGGTCGCGAGGCCGCCAGTCGACCAGCAACACTCTTCCGTACGGGCTGCTATCAGCCCTCTCCGCCCTATTCCTATCCGGATTTCTTTGCTCGCTTGGAAGAGAGTGTGTCCAGGCGAGCGTTTCCTGCCAACGGGTAGGCCCGGGTGGGTTCTTGGGTTTATCCTCAAGCCTATCGACAACCACAATCTGACGGGTGAACTCGGCGTCGCTTAGACCTTCTGGGAGATACCACGAAACCGCCTCCGCCCTGTCCGCAATGGCCAGGCGGTTCTGGACTTCCCGCTCATGATGATTTATGCAAGCGGCGGCATGCTGGAGACAGTGTGCGTTCTGGGGGTCTCGCGACGCGCGTGCGGCGAGACGTGCGTACCAGGGACTCTCTCGTGAAAGGACGAGGTCAAGCCCCACGTCCTCGGCAGAACACGGGCTCCCAGTCTCGGGCAGAGGTGGAAGAGGCATAGCAAAGACCTCGACTCTGTCCGGCAGCCCGCAAGAGCTGCGGTTGTCCTCGGTGCCGTCGAATATGGAGCGGGCCAGGTCCTCGGCGCGTCCCGGATTAAGCGCGCCAGGAGAAGTGTCGTAAAAGACGTAGGCGTACGGTGGGCGCAAGGGCGTCAGGTCGGCATCCTCCGGAGTGTCTGCGGGGACTGAGTATGCCACGACAGCTGGGATGCCGTCATGGCTAGGCGCCGAGTGAACGATGGTCTTGGGGTTCGGTCGGAGCTTCTTTCGAGGCGCCGGTCTGTCGAAGTCTATTGGCTGCGGCAGCGGCTCCTCGTCCTCCCGGTCGTGCACTGGGTCAGGCGGGGGCGAGGGTCTCGCGAAGCCGAGTCTGCGGCAACCATAACACATTGTTTCGATTTTCTTCGGCAGTCCAAGCAAGCAGTAAGATTGGATTAATGGGCCGTCATGAAAAAGGTGTGTGTTGGGCTGCGGGCACAGTTGAATTCCTTGAAGAATGCTGACTAATCATAATCATCCCAAGCTGTAGTTTCACCAGCATCACCACAGCCGATGCGATGAATGACTGACTAATTGCATATCATTTTCCCCCTACCTCTTAGTTGACTACTGCTCGTATCCCGTTGTTTCCCATTTCTTGATATACATGGAAATTATCAACTGTGTATTCTCCGGTACATTCTTCAGAAGTTTACTCCTAGAAGCATAGTTGATGGGAATATGGTGGTGGTAGATCGCAGGGGCACCTATACACTGACCGGCACCTTATCTTGACTGCCAACCCTCCGCTTTGACAGGCATGAAATCAGTCTTGAATCTCATTGGTGTAATTAAAAGCATTGCTCTTACAAAAATGTCTTCGTGATTTCTATTACTAGAATAATCTTCTGCAATTTGCCATCCCCCGAGCGCCAAGCAGCAGTAACCTTTTTGACAACATCGTGTTGCACAAGTATCGAACCCCACAAAGCCGTGCCTCTGTATGTGTGCTCCAGCCATTTTTATAACTGCTGTCATGATTCTCCAGTATATTCGTTCAATTGAGGTGGAAGAAACGAGTCCCAATCGACCAAGGTACTCGCGGATTCTTCCCACTGCAACATGTCACAGTCAAAGCCACTGTCGGGTGGCATCGAAATTTCCATCTCATCTAGAAAATAAGTCGCAGGCTCCTCAGCTAACGAAGATTTCGGTATCTGAGACGATGGGTCCCCCGCAGAGTCTTCTTGCGGATGATTATTCATGTTGCCAAAAGTTTGCGAAGAGTCCCGCTGTATGTGCCGCGGGCCCGTCTCTTGAGGCTCCTGGTCACAGAAGATCTTTCCGCCCTTGGAATGGGGGGTTGCCGAGTCTGGCTGAACCAATGTCTCATGAGAGGCTACAGAAGTTGAGCCTGGATGAGAGAAATCTTCTCTACCATAAAGGGGTAATTTGAATGTCACCTGCGATGGGTGTGATGGCCCCAGCTCCTGTGTATCTGCGGTAGCTCTTGAGAGGCCGTGATCCTCATCGACAGATATGTTCTGAGACCCGACCCGTTGGCCACCCATCATTCCTGTAGTGGTCGAAGTGAATATGTCGCGAAATTGGTCTGCAACTTCCGGCTTGTGGACTACGACAATTTCGTAGAGTCTCTTCATCATCTCGCTGATCATGTTGCGAGATGCGCGAAATTCAGTCGGGCTGGAGACCTCGCCCCGTTCGAAAGCTTGTTGAGCCTCAGAGTCAAATATGGAGCGAGAGACCTCTTCAACTTTTCCTATAATGAAGTCCCCGTAGTCATTGCAAAGTCCGACTTCTGTGATAAGATTCTCATCGTCCTCGCAGACTTCAAGAGTGTTAGTTTGCAGAAAAGTCATCGGGCTGAGCCTTAGGAAGCCGACGCGAGGACTTACAAGGAGACTGGGTCCAAGGGCCACAGTCTGGAAAGAGAATGCTCCAAACTTTCTGGAAAGTGCCCAGATGCTTTTCATAGGAAGCGTCGGTGCCTTTCTTGGGCCTCGTTTTGCTGGCTTCCTTAAGTACTTCTTCGATGGCTTTCCAATCGTCCTCGTCCATGTGAAGTTCATCCTGAGAGCACCCGAAGTGCATCGAGTGCAGGTGATTCCTAATTGATTTAGAACGCCTATTGCTCTTTGGGACGATGCATCAACTTACTTCAGATCACTGAACGTCCTGAACGAGGTCGGCGCTCGACAAGCTCCACCCACCAAGTTCCGATACCTCATGAAGTAGGGACAGAGCAAGTGTTTGCCTAGCTCGTCACACCGAGCCTTTTTAGCCGGCGGCACCTCTTGTTCCTTATCTTCATCCTCATCGTCATCCCTACCTCTCTTGATTTTCGAAGGCGGTGATAGACGGGCCGGAATGGTAGCACTGGCAGGTGTTGCTGAGCTTTGCTTCCCTAGCCCAGTCGAGCGCTTTCCTTTTGAGGAACTCCCTCCATCGACCGCTTCATATTTCGCATGGTTTCCCAAGGTGCATAGAATGCCCGTAAGCAGTGTTGATACCTCCGAAGAATCATGGCTACGCGGTATGAAATCTTGAAGTCGACGTTGGAGGACGTCGACTACGGCGTCGGCATACTTTGGGCTGGCAGCTAGCACCCTTCGAATAGAAATCTCCAGTGAATATTGGTCGTCTTGCCCAAAGTTGTTTTCGGAGGAGTCATCACTGTGCTCGCCATCTATGCTGCAGGGCTTTTGGTGTCCTTCTTGAAACTGGCCAAGGGTATGGTCTTCAGAGAACGTGCTGGCTGTCGTATCTGAGATGGACTGCTGGCTGACTTTGTCGAATATCGACCCTGTTTGAAGAGTCGAGTCTGCAGCTGAAGATCCGGATTCTATCCGTCGTTCAGATCTTTCCGAAGTCGTTTGCGCTCGCGCTTGCTCAAAGAACGCTGCCCATGGACTGAACGAATAAGTTAGCGTCCCACTGTTGCGCAAGGGTGAGAGACAACTAACACTTTGGTGGTAAACTTTCCGTTGTGCTCGGTGCTTAATTTTGGAAATCTCTGAAGCCAATTCGCCCGATCTGCCGAGTTTTTTGTGAAAGCATTGTCTAGATTTTTGATTCTCTCTCTCAAGCGTGCTAGGTACGATTTTCTTGGATCATATGTGTTTCCTCCATTGACAAGAAAATCATCTGAGCGATTGTAGTCGTTCTTGAACGCAATCAACCACCCAGGCGAGGAACTTTGGTGCGATGGTACTCTCGTTGCATGGGTCTCCGCTATGGGATTGCGGGGGGCTGAAGCCTCAACTTCTTTGTCGGGGCAAGTCGGTTCCACAGGAAGTCCCGCTGTCGTTGGTATCACCGCGCCGTTGTCATCACCGCTACCGCAAGGAGGGGATGGAGGCATGTCGTACACTGAGAAAACCCTTTTTATCGCCCACAATGCTTAGGAAATCTAATAATTGAAGTTGTAAGGCGATGACAACATAGGAACGATCTCAGGCGGGCCGCCGACTTTTTGTACCAACCCGAACACAAGTTAGCAAAAGAAAGGGGTTAACTTGTCCAGAATCGTGGACAAAGATTTTGGTTGGCCTGCTTGGTAAAACGCAACGTCGTCGTTCGTACCTTTCCCACCTACCCCCTGAGGTAAGGTACTTCAAGTCCTTGTATCCCACCAAAGCAGGTAGGCTGTGGACGTTTGTGGCGTTCATCGACCGCTCTCATTGGAAGACATCATCGTTACAGTGCTTTGTCTGCCGGGCGCTAGGTATTTCCCCAGATGTCCTCGATTGTGGGAAAGTTCGACGTATATGACGTACCTCAAGCCACGATTAAGCAATCTTTGGTACGCTCGTGTGATCAAATTATGTCCAGAAACTGAGGCTCAAATTCCGCTGGCAGGGAATTTCCAAGACCATACAACGGCGTTCTTCTTCATCGTTATTAGCCTGAAGCTTCTTTACGATGTCGATAAGATCATCCAGGAGCGCTTCAAGTGAGTCTAGGACTCGGGTTTCCCCCGCATAATACCCCGGATTTCGAGGAGGCTGGTGGTTTCCACATTGTCCACCTACTTTATTCGTCCCGGTGCTTGAGTGCCAGGGTCAAACATCACCGACAGCCGTTGAACAAGTATGTAGTTGTTGTGCTCGGAAATTCCGAGCGCAAGCTCTGAAGTTCTGAACTTCGTTGCCAGAAGAGTCTTGGAGTGGTACGTGCTGGGAGCAACCCCGCAGATCCGGTATTCCCGCAGCGGCACCGGCTCGGGCCTCTACCTGACCCTGAGACCCGCCGAGCAGTGAAGCATCTATGCGTTTCGTCTAGTCCAATAGCCATGATAATCTGTAATGAAGCGGCTACAACTGTGGTATTTGAGCTTTCAAGCCTCTTTGACAACTTCAGCTTCTCGCGATAAATAATACTTTTTTTCGCATACTTTCTGCTGACTTTCAGCCATGCAAACATCCAAACGACCCAACTTTCTCGTCATCGTCGCTGACGATCTGGGGTTTAGCGATACAGAGCCATACGGCTCCGAAATATCCACCCCGGCTCTGCAGCGTCTTGCCAAGGATGGTCTGCGTATGACAAACTTCCATACGGCCCCAGCATGCTCGCCTACAAGATCCATGCTTCTCTCTGGCACGGATAATCACATTGCTGGACTGGGCCAGATGGCCGAGTTCATGATGGGTGCGCGACAGAAATACGATGGTCACCCAGGATACGAAGGCTATCTCAACTTTCGCGTTGCTGCTTTGCCTGAGATACTTCAGGATGCCGGCTACTTCACTCTGTGCTCGGGGAAGTGGCATTTGGGCATGACTGCCGAAACCTCGCCCTCTAGCCGCGGTTTCAACAAGTGTCTTTCCTTTCTCCCAGGCGCTGGGAATCACCACAATTACGAGCCGCAACTTGATGCGAGACTTCCCCCTTTCATCAAGAGCTCTGGCTTCTGGATGGAGAACGACAAGTTCATCGATCGCAGCAAAGACTTGCCCGAGAACTTCTACTCGAGTGACTACTTCACCGATCGCCTGCTCGGCTTTTTAGATGAGCGCACAGGGGAGGAGAAGCAGAAGCCCTTCTTCGGATATTTAGCATACACTGCACCACACTGGCCACTGCAAGCACCACGGGAGAAAATTGCCAAATACCGTGGGTTGTATGATGATGGACCGAAAGCTCTCCGAGATCGACGTCTGCGTCAGCTTCAGAAACTGCATCTGGTCCCGAAGGATGTCATTCCGGCACCAGTAGACGTACCTGGTGCTGTTGAATGGAGTGAAAAGGGTGAAGGGGATAAAGCCACGGCAGCCCGAGCCATGGAAATCTATGCGGCCATGGTGGACAAGCTCGACGACAATATTGGACGTGTCATCGATCATCTCGAGGCCAGTGGCGAGCTCGACAACACATTCATCGTCTTTATGTCTGATATCGGTGCCGAGGGTTCCACCATGGAATCCATGCCCATCATGGGCTCACTGGGCATCCGGGAGACACTTCGCCAATTTTATGATAACTCATATGAGAACATGGGAAATGCCAACTCCTTCATCATGTATGGGCCGCAATGGGCCCTTGCTGCCACAGCACCTTCGCGAGGCTTCAAAGGTTTTACCACCGAGGGCGGCATACGGTGTCCGTGTATCGTGCGGTATCCTCCCCTTGTGAGGAAGGAGGGAGGCATCAGCCACTCCTACACCAACGTCATGGATATCCTACCTACGATGTTGGATCTGGCAGGCGTGTCGCATCCCGGTACTACTTTCCGCGGTCGTGAAGTGGTCGCTCCACGAGGGAAGTCCTGGGTCCCGATGCTTAGCTCCAAGACGTCCGAGGTATATGGCGAGGGTGAGGACGTTGCCGGATGGGAGCTTTTCGGCATGAGAGCGATACGGAGAGGCAAGTACAAGGCTGTGATGTTGCCTCCACCTCATGGCACCGGCGCATGGGAGCTTTATGACATTGATAGGGACCCAGGCGAAACTAAAGACCTGGCCGCCTCAGAGCCGGGAGTTATGAGCCAGCTGCTTCAGGACTGGGAGATTTATTTCTCCGAAACAGGAATGATCGAGTATCATGTGAGAGGGGAAAAAGTTGCAGGCATGTAATATTCTGGAAAAGATGCATAACAGCTTAGCGTGGGACGCATACAGCAGGGGAAAAGCATCTATTATGTCGTGCTCTTGTTACTATATATTGGACTTTGAGTGATTTATTTTTCCTTTTGTACATGTATCTGTATGTCCAATTGTTATGAGCTCCGAAGCCGGTGAGAAATTTGTGGTGATGGTTGAGATCTGAACTGTAGCAGCTGCTGATGTCCACTTGCAGTTCCCACGCTCTATGTTTATAAGCCTTTTTATTCTTCTTCGTGTCTCTAATCTTGAACGGTATGTACTTGACAGACCGGAGACTGTTCATCATAGCTCTTTTCACAGACAGTGTCTCACCAAGTTCCCTGCTCTCATTCTCGACACTGAGACCGTATTAGTCGTTGACTTTATCCACCAACAGCCTATGAAAGCTTCGCTACCGCGCAAAACCATCCAGGCTTCCTCTGAGGGAGACTGCACCATCTCCACACTCCGCCCATCAAGCATCTAGTACATGCGGAGAACATGCTCAACCTACCGCAAATATATCAGTATCAAAGCTACCAGTTCTCAGCATCAAGGGAAACTTACAGCCGGGCTGGGGCTTGCAGCACTTCATCGTCTCCATACCAACGGTGCCGGGCTCAGATCGCTGCCTCTCGCCAGTGATCTCACAAGTCGTCTGGCAGGGCAAGTCCTCAGGAAGATCACAGACCCACCCATTGGTGAGGCCTCGCGAGATAGGACCGACGTCTGACTTGCAGACCTCGGGGGCGGAGCGGCAGCCCGCCATGACGCCGAGGGACATGGAAGCAATAACGAATGCCTGGGTGAACTTCATGATGACTGATTTATATGTAGAAAAAGGATTGAATGTGATATTATTGCAAGATCGACTCGATGTGGCTAGCGGGTAGTTACATTCACATCTATCCCCAGTTTCTGTTGGCGAGTCTAATAGATTGGCTGGTCGTGAGTTCTGGCCTCATACTGGCTTTACACTGTTGATCATAATCCCCATGGACTTTTGATTCATGATCCGCTATTCTTCTCCGTACTGGCGAGTCAGTACGAATAAGACGAACGGGTCATCCCACGCGGCGACAAGCGAGTCATTGTACGTCGTTGAGCATCACCAGACTACACTGCTTCATGCTGACCCTGAATACGGCAGGCTGGCCAATCGGTCTTGCAAACCCCCACGGGGAATGAGGGTCATAGTATGACTCCCGCGGTGGTCCACTCGCGGTCTCAGTGTGGAGTCACCGCGTCAGGAGGTTTCCGCTGTGTGATGGTGTCTACAGAGTACTCTCTCGGGTCGTTAATCACTCTATAGATATCCTCTTCCTTTTATATAAAAGTTATGATAGTATGAAGCTCTCAATATTGGAAATTGGACCTTTTGGCATTCTATACCGCCTCGAATGACGTTGTAACGGGGCAACATACGATGCCCAACTATCTGTGCAAAGATAGAGTTCACCTCACACCTGTGTCTGATAAATGAACGGGGCAATGCTGCGGGCCGCCCACGGGCAGTGGAAGTTTCTGCAGTTGCGGCTATAACCAAGTGTCCGTGTTTGCGGCTCAACAACGTCCCGCGTGTTAATGAGCCCGGCCACAACCACAAGGAAGACATCGTGAATCCACTTTAGCCCACCAAAACTTCAAAAACATACAACACCAGGTATTCGCTGGTCGTCACCGACCCAACTACTAATCCGGCCCTCATTGACTTATCTATGGGAGAGCGGACGGGATCCCGAGTTTTCCAATGGGTATGGTCGTATGTGGTTGTTGACAATGGTGAAGCAGTTGATAGAGGCAGCTGCAAGTTGTGGAAGCTGGACGTGGCTGCACTTCTGGCTGCACAGTGCCACTAGAGCTGCAGGCAAACAAAGCTCCGCCCAAAGAGACCTTGAAAATGCTCATCTCGGTTGCTTTATTCATTAGCATAGAAATTCGGATAAGTTAGGTGCACCCGAATTCGCAGCTCAAGCGACGCGCCGGCCTTGAAGAGTGAATGAAGCTGGAGCGAAGCTATTTCCCACTGGTCTCATTGGCCAATTGAGTTTCCCTGCACACCTGCCTGTTGGGTCAGCGTTTTCCAACCTGAGCAGGGGTTGGGTGCCGTGTTAGTGGGGCCGGCCGGCCGGCCGAGAATGACCGCCGCTACCCCTCAAGGGCGGGAGCGAGGGCGGTGCTCCCCGAGACACTTGCGTGGTAAGTATCCTGCCATGACAATGGAACACAAGAAGGGTTCCTCGCTCCTAATCATTGCATTCCAAGCTCTCGATAGACCTCCAACGTAATTGAAGGTCACTGGACCTACCTTAGTTGCAGTGAGGTTAGATCAACTGGAGCCTGATGAAGTGGGGATTTGACGATAGATTCGACGGTATTGTACTAAGACCAGCCCGGGAACACGGCCAATACCATTTTGTGAACTGCCGAGAGCCAGTCAGGCCGGACTCTATTCTGCCCTCTTAGGTCGATCTGTATTTTCTCGAGATCCAGCGCTGTATGGTTGTCTTTCCATAGTGCAGAGTTTGCTGATTATCAATCACGGTGAAGATTAGCACACAGCACCGAGCACAGGTACTTATATGCACTGATTTCCCATCATGAGACGAGCACAGCTATCAACGAGAAAGCAATGGGAAGACGTTCACGATAGCCGTTCAAGATGGGTGTCTTCTCACCTGACAGTCTTCCGTCAGAGATTCTCCACGATATACTCAAGGTCCTCGAGATTAGTGATCCATGAAAGCAAAACGACTAACACGCTATAGCATCTAAGCAAGCACGACCTTTGCAGCCTGCGCCTAGTAAGCCGCACATACGCAGCCTTCGGCCTCCCCCACATCCTCAAGCTCATCGCGTCAGAGCTCCAAGAGTCTCCAAAGAAGCCATTCGAATCACCATCCTACATCCATCGGCTGACAAAAAGCTGCTTACACGATATGCTAGAGTCCGTCGTCAAGCTCGGCGTACCCACCGACGAGTTCAACGCGCAGGGGGAAGCGGCACTGCATGTGGCGGCCCGTCATGGCTGCGGGAGTGATTGCATTCGGATCCTTTTGGCTGAATCCGCGAACCCGGACGTGGAGAGCCGTCTTGGGTGGACGCCGCTCATGGTTGCGGCGAGATACGGCCATGCTGAGGCTATCGCGGAATTGATACGCGGCGGTGTGCGGCTGGATCGGAAAGGGTTTCATGGCTGGACGGCTCTACATGTCGCAGGCCAGAACGGCCGAGAGGATATCTCCGGATTGCTTGTAAGGGCAGGCGCAAGTCTGAGGATTGCCGATAATGATGGTTTGAAGGCGACCGATACTCCTGTAGGAAGGGTAAGTAGTCATCTCCCATGCCAATATGTGAGGAGGCCACACAGGCTGCTGGTTTCCTCCGGTATCCCACCGCCATGATTCTGGAATGAGACAATCACGCGCTCGGCTTTTGTAGATGAATTGAAGTAAAAATACATCCAATTGGTATTGCCGCTAACTGCCTTCATCACACAAGAGTATTGTGCGCATTTGTGCATGCCTCGCCGAGCTGAGGACAGGGTGTGCTCTCTCCTCATGATTACTGATCTATCGTTTCTGCTTACTCAATCTTCAACATCTAAATCCTTCACCGAGCCCTTCACCGAACATTACATGCCATTGCTAACCCGACGTGGACTGGGCCATTTCCCTCTCTGGAGAATACGAACACACGTGCCGTCGTGCACGGTACTTCCGAGTCGAGGAGGCAGTCAAGGTACCTTACGGCGTCGAGTCATCTGATTGCCGAATCGAGTCAAAAGCTGTAGTGTGTATAAGTATTTCCCAGACCGGGATCAGTAATCACCTCACTCCCGGGAAGCATCCGATGTACCCAGGGGCAAAGCACCGGCAGCCCCATAATTCGCTCCGTCTTACGGCATTAGCTTGCTCAACCGATCTCCGGACACACTGCCCCGCATTGCGGGCCGTGGCGTCTGTCTTACACTTGCGAGCGGGGCACCGGGGCTAGCCTATCGGGGAACGCCGTCGCGGCCGCTAGGGCCTGTATTATGTATAGCATATGATTCATCGCGGCTATGCGGTTCCACGTGCAGATCACCCGTACACAGGGTGTCTTGCCTGCATCGTACCAGATGAACACTCCGAACCCTGGTTGTGTGTGTGTGTCTGTGTGTGTATCTGACCTTATTATGAAAAGTAGAAATAGTCACTGACTTCTCTTCACTCCTGGCTATCTCAACTGCCCAGTGTCCTCCAGACATTGAGAATCACATGAACGCCACATCAACACAGTCCGACAAGCAGCGCTTCAATTCAGCTTCGCCCGCCATGGACGCCTCGAACAAGCCCACAATCACCTTCTACGACATCATCCTCGACCCGAAAGCCTACCCAATGGCACCGAACCCGTGGAAGACGCGGTACGTAAAACACCCCCGCCTCCGCATCTCATTTTCGGGGGGTGGAGGGGATTGGGGATAACTTCGAACCGACTAACATTCTACAGCTTCGCACTCAACTTCGCCAAAGTCCCCTACCGCACAACCTGGGTCCCCCTCAACGCCGTCGCCGAGACGCGCAACTCGCTCCAGCTCCCCGCTAATCGCAAACATGACGACGGCACCGACTTCCCCACCCTACCCATCATCTGCGACCCCCTCGCGTCTTCTTCCGGCTCAGGAGAGAGTGAGGAAATCCTGGTGGGTGACTCGTTCGACATCGCGCTGCACCTGCAAAGAACCTACCTCACCGACAAAAAGCACCAACTCTTCCAGGACGGAGAAAACGGCAGCAGCACGGTATCTCTGCACCGCATCTTCAACGCTTTCGTAGACCAAGTCTTCAGCCAGTACGGCGCCCCGCTCGGCGGCTTCTACATGCCCCTCGACCCGCGCACCGCCGAGGCCGACAGGCAGTCGTTCCTGGACCGGTTCCCAGGCAAGAAGTGGGGGGACCTCGAGATCCCACCCGGTTCGGAGGTAAGGAAGAAGATGCTGGCGGATTTCGAGACGAACTTGGAGGCTAAGCTCGGTCCCTGTTTTCCTGCCGGGGGAGCAGGTCCATTCATGGACGGGCGCGAGAGCCCCGTGTATGCGGACTTTATTGTCGGTGGCTGGTTACAATTCATGAGAGGGTGTTTGCCTGAGTGGGAGCCGTTGAGGAATGAGTGGTCTGGTGGGAAGTGGGGGAGGCTCTTTGATGCGCTTCAGGAGTGGACGGGCGTAGATGGGCGAGAGGGCGTCGTCCCGGCGAGGCCATGAGAAGACAGTCTTCCCGTAGACAAGGGTCTTCTCAGCAGGTGTTCACTCTGAACTCTACAAGTATGGTGTTCTTGATCGTAGGGACTGAATTGGCTCCAAAAGGTACGCGGCTTTCATAGTACAAATGTTTGCTTGCTTCAAATATTATCCTTGCCATGAAGCGTTCGTGGTGTGGACAAAAGACCACACTATCCCGTCAACATACGCTTGCGAGCAAGTCTCGCTACGCTCCCACGACGAATCGAGTATTCCGACCAAACATCTCAACATCTGAGGAGATCCAAACAAGACGCATCAGCCTTCAAACCTCCCCACCTTTCCACTCCCACCACACTTAAGCGGCACCGCAGTAAGCGCTCTTCCACAACAATCCATTCGAGCTCCTAGAAGCAACGCAGCCTCCCGAGCCGCTATTAAACCCAATCCGCCCCTTGGCGCCACCGCAGTTGTATCCGTCATACAGATCGCACCCGCCGCTCGTCTGGGCCCCGTTACCCCGCCACGCGCCGGCAACGTTGAGACTCCCGCTGGCGCCCGGCATACCGAGCGAGAAGCAGTCGCCCGCGCTCCCGCCGTTGACGTACTCGGCCGCGCGCGGCGAGCGGGTCCACCACGCCGCCGTCTCGCTGGTGTAGGCGGAGCAGCCGGAGTTGGAGTAGAAGTTGATCTGCACTGCTTTGCCGGATTCATAGTTTGCTGAAACGGGGGTCGCCAGATGGAGGGCTGCTGCTGCGAGGAGCGTGAGGATGGATGGGGTGTACATTTTTGCGTGGTGGAGGAGCAGGTTTGTTCGATAGTCGTTTGTGAGAGATGGAGGAGTTGATGATGGGCAATAGGAAGTTTGCTTGAACTGGATGGCTAAGGGCTGGATGGTAGGTGCTACAACCGCCCGAAGCTGAGGTTATATACAAATCCTGCTCTCGAGATTTGAGGCTGCTAGCTGCCATTACGAAACCATCGACTCCATTCTGTAAAGCAGACAGACATTGAACCAAAAGTTGATGCCTAGACTAATGGAATTCCGACTGGCTTCTTAGTAAGGACTTCCTTGGTACACTCTGCTAGACAATTCTACCTTCCAGTCTCGTCCCTAGGAGCCCGTAATCGTGGGGACTCTCAGGAGTGGGCGCTGATTCAGCTGATCCTTTGATGCAACCTAAACTCGACGGGATGAACCACGCGGGAGGACCCGTCCCGCTTATTTCGGGCTGCAGCATGTACGGGCAAGGGTGTACCCTGCGGGTTCGGTAGCGGAATTCCGCCAGTCTCGGGAGCATCGAGGAAAAGAGGATAGTTGAGTTTCTTTGTGTGCTTAGTTAGTCGAGACAACGGTGAGAGGACTTGTAAAGGCTCCGGAAAGATGTCTTGGATGAGCGATGACAATGTCAAAGTCACTAGATCACACGGCTGAGCCCAAGGTGCGAGGAAACGTAGACGCCTGAAAATATCACCGTTTTCAGTAAATTCTCCTACTTTGGTCAAGATCATCTGCCGATGGTAAGATACTGAGAACTTCTAGGCCTCATCAATGCTGAACCTAAGGCAGTCAATAACAATGTCGAGCCGATGTCATCGCCTCGATGACACTCCACTTCGACTCTATCAACCAATTTTTCTCAACTCTAATTCAATACCTATCGTCTCCAAAGCCACAGCTCCTGAAAACCCAACTCCTAGGGGAGGAATCACAAATCATCAATAAGAGGACTCAACCCCTGCGCCGTCCCAATCTTATCCTCAAAAAACAGCTTCAACCGCTCAACACGCACCCGGTCCCCCATAAACCTCTCAAACTCAACCGGATTCGTCGTCTCGACATCCATAATCCCGGGGTACCCCGACGGCGGCGCCGCATCCTTCCTCACACTCCATGACCCCGCGGCCGTCGCCGCCGACTGATACTCGTCGCTCAGCATAAAGTTGTGAAGCAACTTCGCGCCCTCCGGATGCGGCGCGTCCCTGAAGATAGCCGCCCTCTGCGCCCACGTCACAAAGGTGCCATTAGTGGGTATGGACACGTTCAGCGGCGCCGGGGGAGCGAGGCCGATGCCCGCGGTGAAAGTGGCGGAGAGAGTCGTGTTGGGCGAGGTGAGGAGGGTGACGGGCGTCCCGGTGCCGCGGACCCAGCGCGGGTTCTGCGCGAGGAGCTTTTCGAACCATTCGTAGCCGAACTGTTGCATGCTGTTGAAAGAGAGTGTCAGCTGAGTCTCAGCTACGATCTGTCTGGACAAAAGACTTGGCTTTTGGTTTGGGGGGGAAAGCCCGGAAGAAGTAGCTGTACTCACATCAGATCAAACGCATACAACACCGCATCATCATCGTTAGGATACGTAAGAACAAGCCGATCCTTAAACCTCGGCTCCAAGAAATCCGCAAACTCTTGAGGGCCATCCTCCTCCCGTTCCGCATTCCAGATGAACGTCCACGCAAAAATCGAAACCCCGTACCACGCGCCGCGAACGTCCCGGAATGCGGGGTGGATCTTGTCAAAGTTGACGGGCTGGTAGTGCAGCAGTGCGCCCTCGAGGTCCCAGCGCGGGTAATCGTGCAAGGTCTGCAGGATCGCCGTGTCGACGTACAGCGCGCCGGCACCGCCGCCGGCACCGCCGAGAGCGGAGAGGGCGAGCTGGCGGTCAATGTTTCCGTCGTGGAATTTGGATACGTCGACGGTGATGTTGAGCGTCATCCCGGGGAACCGGGACTCAAAGGCCCGCTTGAGGCCGTCTTGCTGGTTCGTCTCGTCGCCTCCGTGCCAGGCTGTGACGATGCCGCCCTCGGCGAGGGCGGCTTGGTGGATCTCGTCGAGGGTGCGGGTTTCGATGATGGGGGCGCCATTGAAGCCGAACGTTGTGTCGTATGCTGCGGCTATGGTGGCGAGGCTGGTGGCGGTCAGAAGAGTTAAGCCGATCATCATGGTGAGAGGGATTGGTCTAAGTCGATGATGAGGGGGTGAAGTGTGTAAGTATAATCCAAGTCGTGGAGGGAAGCTGAGGATGACGAGGATGATTTTGCTCTGATGAGAAGTCATACTATGAGGGATGCTACATCCGCTATATATATCAAAGTTGAACAACACAGCTATTGCTTGGAAACATCTTGCCTTGTAAGTCTACAACGAGACTACGGACCGGTCAACAGCATTGATTCTCCCACGGCATCTCTGTTCAGACCACTCCTCTGCTGAATAATTCAAATCATCCAGCCTATGCCACCTTCAAGGCTCAACGTCGCAGAACCTGCATGTTCTGGCTCGACCCAGATCGCGACGACTTCAAGAAAATCTCAATGTTGGTAAGCATCGCGGTCACAAGCAGTGTCTACTCCAGAAAAGGTGGTGAATAAAAGAGCCGACGCGCGCGGTAGACTCACAAACCCAGTGGGGACCTCCAGCCCCGGCCGACCCCACCTCATGAAATAATGTCGCCGTAAGGTATTAGTCTGCTTCTCTCTAGCGTCTTCTCCCCTCACTACATCGACCACGCCGCATTTTCTAGTGTTTGTTGGAAAGAATATCTGCTTTGCCCTGTCTCCGTAATCGGAAGTATGGGCTGACACATGCCACGGCCGTGGCCACGGCCGTGGCAGTCAGGCCAAGTTCCCTGATGAAGATGAACTCTGCCGAGATATCGTGCAAGAACGGAAGAGGGCGAAAGTTGATGCCAGGGATTAGTTTGAATTCACATTACACGACGCACCGGGGCCATCCAAAATTTAAACAATAAGCTTATTCCAATACACGCCGCCGAACATTCTACAAGTGCACTGTACAGTATTTCGAGCGTTGTTGAGCCCCATGTAAGTAAACTCCCGACAACCTCTGATCGGCAAAAGCCAAAGTGAATGAGTGAGCCAGACTAGGTAGCGGGTTCAATACTGTATGAGTGACGATAGCCGCTGCGGTGAACATAGTCGTCGTTGTCGTTCCTGCGACCATGATAAAGAAATTCCCCAATTAGGAAACATGCTTGCCATGGATGAACCACTTTTGCATCTTGACCTCGTGCTCGTTTTCGGATCGCCGGCCGCTTGGGGCCTGAGAGTGGGAAGGGGTCACTTCCCGTAGCTTGGTCAGCATCGCATGATACCTAGGCAACAAGACTTCCTGATCGGAAGCTGGCGTCGGAAGCGGGCAGCGCCATCCAATAAGGGTCCGACATGTTTCTATAAGACCACCTTACTGACCAATGAAGAGACGTGAGTCTCGTGGATTTCTCGTAGAATCATTATTTCCCTGAAGTGGTGTTAGGAGCGAGGGCTCGCACTGACAGCATAAGACAGAGAATACAATGCAAATCTATTAATCTAGTACCATATTGAGAAAAACAGCCAAACTCCAAAGCTATGCTACGAGGGAAGGGGGTATCTCAGCTCCGGACCATGCTACAACACCTAGCACTAGCTGCTCTCTGCTTCCAGAGCGCGCTTAGTGCCCTCCTTTGATGCCACATACTGATACACATTGGGGTCACCACCGGTTAACTTCAACAGATGACGCTCGTACGGCCCGAGGGGCTCCTCCACCAAGGTCCTCCCTCTGGGACTAGTAGGAGCGTTCTCCTTAGGGCCACAGTACTCCCAAACCCAGCGACCATCAGAGTCGGCGTCGGCAGGATGCTTCATACACTCTTGCTGATCCGACTTAGGTTCCCAGACTGGATGGTGCGGAACCGGGTCTTCATAAGCCGCATTCGAGTACACAAGCCGCCAATTCTTCTTCATAGCCGGGTTGTCCCACTCTCCAAGGTCATTCAACCCCAGGCCCTTGCAAGCCAGGCGGATACGGACCGATGAATGGATGCGCTCGTTCGTGTCCGTGAGGAAAGTAGCGGTTCGAGCATCCGTATGAGCATTGACTTGTTTGTACAAGCCAGGCGAGCGAATGATCTTTCCGGCCAAGGTGTAGAGAAGGTTCGAGGTCTTCTGAATAGAACCGAGACCCCAAGGCCGGAGGGGGTGGTTCTGGCCGTAGACGGGCTCCATTGCCCACTTGATGTTTTTGTCCTTGATTTGTGCCCTGTAAAAAGAATTGGACTGCTGCACGCAGCGTTCGAGTGCGAGATGGTTAAACTCGACACCAATGGATGCCAGCTGATCCATCATCCCTGGATCGCAATGTTAGGTATTGACCAGATACATCATGGAGGTAGACTTACAGGCAAGAGTGATGTTAGAAATTCCCTGATCGTTCCAGCCGCCACCGCAGTTTGAGTGGTTTCCCGGGAACCAGACTTGTCGAAGATCAGTCGTATGCCTATTAGCCTTAAGACGTTCCCAGACAGCTGGCTGAAAGGAATAGCGCGTCTCGTCGAGAGCCAGAGCCTGGAATGCGTGTTCGACTCTGTCAGACAGGCTCGTGTCCCAGAATCTAAACTCGCGGTTCGACGCGTAGATCCCAAGCTTGTTCAACCAGGCAATTTGAGGGATGCCCAGGCTACCGACAGTGTCCCAGACGGCTGTTTTTGGTGTCAGTTGTGGAGTTACACTAGGGTTGGGGGTTCCTTACCAACTGCTTTGACCTTGATGATATCCCCTTGGCCCTCATTCTGTTTGACACGGGTCATGCCGAGCTATGCAGGTTAGCATCTAGTACTCTTCATCACAGGGAACGTCGGCTTTACCTTTTCTAGCCTGGCCCTGTACACCTCCGCCGCCCCCTCACCCTTGGGTTTGTTGTCGAACGGCATCGTGGGGAACTCGTCGCGGTAGCGGTGGTTGTTCCAGTTCTCCATGTCTTTAAAGATGGGCCAAAAGTGCTCGACACCTTCACGGGTCAAGAGTCCCAGGTCGGAAATCATGCCAGCGACGGAACGAACAATGTAAGCGCCGCGAGAGAAGCCGACAAGGATGATCTCGTCGCCGTCGCAGTAGTTGGCGCACAGGAAGCTGTAAATGTTGCGAACTCGCTGTCGTGTATATTAGTACTTGTTCAACCCCCCTAATCAGATGGGAAAGGAGTCACGTACCTCTCCGAGACCGAGGCCGAAAGCACCGCCAGTAAGGGTGTCGAGGGTATTGCTGCCCGTGCCGACGCCAGACTCGTACTCGATGACTTGCATTCGACCATCGCTGCACCTCCGGCGAAAACACCTCGAGATGCGAGTCACATTTGAGGGAATCTGCAGCGACCCCTTGGGCTTGAGGAGCGTGGGCTTAACGTATGCACTCTCTCTATGGGGTTTCAGTCAGCAAACAAGATCAGTGATACCAAGCTGGGGAAATTGATTTAGTGACATACGAATTCATCCAGGTGCCGTCGCAGCACACGATCAGTCTCTTTGGAGAGTAGCTCATGTTAGTGGCTGGGGCGACCATGGCGAGCAGTAACCTGTCAGCAAGAAGAGGGAGGAGGACGGCGTTGTCTCGTAGGTTCTAGGTGTAGGTAACGAGAGGCGATGGGAGCAGAAGAACTGATGGAGATGAGGCGGTGAACGGAGGGATGGACGTCAAATCAGAGTAGAAGGGAGAAACGGGAGTCAAGGGGGGATTCCGGATCAGTTGCCGAGTGTTTTGGTTGAGCCTGGGTTTCTTTGAACGTTGAGTGGATATCGTGAGACTTGCAATCTTTACCTTCCCAGGAAGCAGAAGCGGATGCTCCCTTCTTTATAACAACAGGGGGGGCGAACTGTGGGAAGCGCAAAGTACCGAACAAGGCATGCGGGAGGCACAGAAGAGGCATGAGAAAACGGAGCTAGGGAATCCGTAAGGCTACCCTATGAGGAGCTGTCGGGGAGGCATTCGCGAGTGAGATCCGGGCATTCCAGAGAGAGAGACATGAACAAGAGCAAGAGGAAGGAACCTGGAAGCGCGCAGGCGCGCCCTTCTCTCGCATCGCTCGCTTCCATCCACCACAGTTGCCCACTTGCGCGAGAAGGGTGGGAGGGAAAACAGCCAAGAACGAGGCTGAAGTCTGACATTGGGAGCACAGAATAGGTAATAGGGAAGGACCAGGCAGGCGTTGCGGTGAGGGATGACTCTTGTGGCTGTTTGTTGAGCAAGAGCCCGGGGGCACAGCATTGCAGAAGAGAGGCGGGGCAAGAAACAGTCCAGGCACCAGAATAAGAGTTTGTAGCATCGAATACCTACCTTTGCGGCATTGGATGGTTCTTGCCGCCTTGATTGGTCGCCTTGCGGCTTACATCGTGTTTGAGCAGTGTACCTACCCTTGGGAAGGTATTTAGTACCTATGCAATGTAAGCGGGAAAGCGCAAATGTGGTGTTCTTGTCATCATTTGGGTGGATCGTGGGGGTGGGTGGTTGCACAGGGCAGGACTCGCTTGGCGGGGGCCGCCTTCCCATCATTGAGGACTCAATTTTCGGTGGCTTCTTGTGATTGGTGACACAGAGTTGCGGTAAGAGAAAAGGCATCTATTGGGTATCTCCGTTCAAGAACTTGAACGACAAAGACGAGTCTTGGAGTCACTTGCCGTGGAGGCGCTCAGCCTCGATGACATTACCAGTCACCTGCTCTCAAAGAATGGCTGAGAGGAACGAGTGTGAGCTCAGGGTAGTAATAGAGGAACAAACCCATCGTCAATTGGATGGGAAAGGGGGCTGCAATTGAATGGCAAAGCCTCCACAACGGACAATTTTAGGAATTTGCAGTCTCATTTGAGCCGCTTGCCATAGGTCAGCTTCTTCAATCGCTAAAGAGCTTATAGAAATGAGCAGGCGGGCAGTGCCGCACATCTGCATCTCGCTGAGCCATTGAAGAGAGGCGTCTGGGCATTGGCAAGGAAGAGACGGCACAGGGGAGAGCGACGGACTCTTGCCTCTTGGGGCAGGTGACTGGGAGGTTCATTTCCACCAGAGGCGACGAGCAGGCGAACCAATTGACTGCAGACGTCTTGGGAAAGGTACTAAGGCAACCGTTTTGAGGCTCTCGATCCAGGGAGTTTCATAACAAAATATGTCAACCGGGTTATGGAACTTCAATGGTATTGTTACTAGGTAGTTCACTGACATACAAATACAGTTGCACCAATTCGGACTAGACATATGTCGTGGGATGGGCATTATGTTAAACTGACTAGACAAGTGACGACAACAATGACAGAATCAGAGTTAAAAGGCACCACATTACCCGTCTGCCACTCACCATTCGGCAACTCTCAATCTTCCACAACCTTAGCTTCACGGGAAAGCCGTCGTGCATACCCCGCCAGAAATGACTGCATCAAGCATCAGTTGTAAGACCATACCCATCAACATCCGTCCATCCATCCATCCATCCAACCAGCCCAGCCCTACGATCGGGATCGCCCAGTCCCGCATCTCACCTCAGATTTCAGAACCACTCCCTGCTGTCCTAGACCAACCCTCATGAACCTCGTGATCGTCAATAGCGCACACTGCGAATGCCCGTCGTGAGACCCTGCCTCAAGATCAGACTTTGGAGCCGCATTAGACTATGCCGACGAAATGCGGGAGCGGGCATTCCGAGTAGTCATGATGGGATGAACCATCCAGCCTTGAACAACATCAGCCAGAGAACTCTACCAAGCACTCTGTTTTCTACAGGAAACACGTTCCGTCTTTCGAGTAACCGAATCAACGAAAATACGCACCAGCGCAAGTGCTCACGCAAAACATTCAGTAATCAACCACTCCCAAAAAGCCTCCGCCACACCCGTATCCCGTCTGACTGACCCTGCAGCCCAAACATCTCGAATGACTCCCGTCTTACCTACCCCTCCAGCAATGAACCTTACCTAGTCTCTCATCCAATCCACATCCGCCTTCTTTCCTCTCCCTTCCCAAATCCCTAACCTCCAAAATCTCCCGCACGAAGGCCGCCGAATTTCTCACGATGTAGAACGCATCCACTAGCACCCAACTACCCACCACTGGCCCCCACAATCACACGCAAAACCCACCCGTAACCCACCACGATGCTTACCTGGGGCAATTCTCCCCTCCAATGCCTTCATCAACTCGCCCAGATCGTCTAGTTGGTTAGGATGATACGTTGTGGTTCTTCTATACAGCGATCCGTGTTGACGGCGGTTCGAATCCGCCTCTGGGCAGTCGAAGCTGGTCCACCTGGACCAATTTCATTTTTTTCTCTTTTAAGTCTGCATCTCGAGAGTTTCTTTTTTTGGCTGCCCATCTTTCTTTCCTTCTTTTGCGTACATTCATGCTTAACTCAGTCGAGTCTCATCCCAAATCCAGCCTCACTACAAAACCTGTCTCACAATCAACCACTCCCTTTGATGCGTCGCAGCCTAAACCCGTCACATCACGAGACCTCTCAGGTAGCTAGATTCTCAAAGGACGCCAAAGTCTCAATCTCCAAAGGGTAATTAATACCTACCAAATCCGACCAAATACCCCAAGGGTGGGATTGGCCGCGACCCGGTTCGTCTTGGCAAGCCTCCGGACCACCGCCGCCACCGAAGAAACTTTCCAACGCCATCAGCCGCAACACACCAGGCTCCAACCAATCACGCCAAGAAAGTGACCCCAATACCATCCAAATTCGGAAGGAAAGGACACAAGGCCAGAATAAATAAATAAAGAACCTCAGCTACTACCTGCAAGGAGACCCGGAAAAACCTTAATTATCGAAAAACTAGAAACGCGCCATCTCATCATCCCGGGATAGTCATGTACCTACCTGCCCTCCTTCAGCTACTGCGAAACATTGCCGCTCAATAGTTTTCTTTTCAATCCCCAGCCCTACATCAGGTCCGAACAGTGGCGCGGCAGCGGAAGCAGGGAGAGGAAGAGTCAAACTTGACTTCACCTTGTCGGAGCAAGCCCGAGACTGCCAAGACTGTTGTTCTAGACACGTCCAGTCACCGGATAATCCATCAAAACACATTGAGCTAATGTCAAAGTTGGCATGTCTTAAATTTTGCCGCCCGTCGTTCTGACGGCGGTCTGTCTATTGCTTTTTGGTCGCTATGCTTTACGTACTCAAACACGATATCAGACATCGCTAAGATATGTGAATAAAAAAAATCAGGCACACAAACATGGTGGGTATTGCATCGTAGTATGCTCAGCGCAACATGCAAACCGGGCCGTTTCATTTTGTTGTAGTACGGATACTCTTGTTCCAGTACTGACTGCAAGCAGCTCTCATGCTGCGAATCTAGTGCAGGTGGTTCCCTTTGAACCTGCACTGTATTTTCCAGACCTCGTAAACCCAAGGTGCTCAAATATGCTCAAACCAAGTAACACGCGAGAAAATCCTCCCTTCCGCCTTCACGGAGAACCCTTACTTAATCTTCCCCAAACAAGATACCGTGGTGCTCTGCGCACAGCTGATCGAATCCCAGCCAATACACGGTCCCGTTGTCGTTGGCAGTGTCTGACCAGGCACCTCCATCGTTCTCCCGAATGTCCTTGGGATACGGGTGTGCGGGATACCACACTCGGCCGTCAATCAGCTCAGGCATATAATGTTCCTCCTGCTGGAACCAGTTGATAGCGGAACGGATCAGGGAGCGGCCGTAGGGGAAGAACCACATGCGAGGCCAGAACACGTCCAAGGCTCCCTTCTCTCCGGTGACGTGCAGCAGCGGGAACGTCTGCTTGGTCACAATGTTGGCGCCGAATTCGGACTTGCGGATCAGCTCGTTCACCGTCGCGCCCATCGTTTCGTCCTCGGTTGTGTTGAAGATGCGCTTAAGCGACTTCATGCCGTCCGCTTGCATATGCAAGCTCCAAGGCACAAAGGTGGAACTGTTGCGATAGTTTTGTGAGATTTCGACCGAGTACAGGGGGCGGTCAAATTTGCGCCAGTTCACCCACTCGCCGTAGCCAGCCCATGTCTGGAACATCAGACTCCAATAGTCCATGGCGATGTGGAAGTTGTAGCTGTACGCGGGCTCCAATTCGGGAACCCAGCCGTCTTCCGGAGGCAGCATGACAGCGGCATCGGGATTTTCTTCCTTTTGCATCTGTATTCTCTCAAGCTCCTGCAAACCCCAGACGTCGCTCATGTAGAACTGGTCGCTCTCTCTGAACTCGTATTCCGGGTCGTACACTTCGTTTATTAGGTCGAGAGTGGCTCGGAACATCTCGCGGACCTCCTTGATGGGACCAATAATGGTGCCGCTGTTGAGCCATCGGGGGTGGTTGAAGGCCATATCCTCGCCAGTATTCGTGAGAGGGCCGAACTCGTGGCCGTCCATGTTGGGCACCGGAGGGACCGCCCAGCAAGCCGGACGCCGCCAGTCCACGGGCCAGCAGACCTTGTCCGCGCCGAAGAAGATATGTCGGCCCATCGGACCAGCCAGACTCTGGGCCCTCTCGGGTCCCAGCTGCTGGATGATTCGCTCGTCTTCCTTGGCCGCTGCCTTGAAATATCTCTCAATCAAGACATCGGGGCCAAACTGGAGAAGGACGTCATAGCCATCAATCATCATGAAGAGATCGTCGTTGCTGGATTCGGGCAAGTCTTCGAGGTACTTGGTGACGACGCGGATCTTGGCCAAGTGGGACAGAGCAGCATCGTTTTCGCCGGTGCCGTTCCATCCTGCAATGACTGGCGCGCCGAAGCGGTTGGCGGTAGATGAAACGAGGGCGCGGCAGAACTGCAAGTTCGGGGCGCTGGCGGCGATCAGGAAATGGAAACGGCCGGTGCCTGCGCGGGCGGGTTTGGCCCCCTTGGTGGATGGCGCGGAGGATTTACTTCCGGTGGGGAGAGAAGCTGAGATGTCGGACTGTGGGAGGAGGCCATTGTCAGTACAAATGTCAAGCGCAAACAGCTACAACGGGTGTCTCAGAGTCCCGCATCGAGGAGTTCGGTCGAAGTTTCAGCCCAAGTCGGCACGTGGGTGCGCATTCTTCCTTTCCTGGGGGAAAAACTGCCCCAGTAGACGGGGGGCTTGCGACGGCGATCAAAAAACGACAAGAAGTTTGAAGTAACGACAGGAAACAAAAAAGAAGGAAAGAAGCTTACCCAGCTTAGGTTCTCCGGGTAGAGGGACTGTGAGAAGATGAGAAGCGCCGAAACGATGACGAAAGCGGCCAGCAGAACGAGTCTGCGGCCTTTCAGAGCCATCAACATGGGTGCGACTCGGGTTTCATTTAGCTGCCGGATTGGCTTGAGATCCAGGTTGGGCGATTTTGGGGGGTTGACAAGCGGGCAAGCGGGCTAGTGCAGTGCAGTGCAATGTTGGTTTGCGACGGCGGCGATGAAGCGATATCCACGAGAGAGAGAAGAGGTCGAGCGTGCAACTTGGGGTATTAGAAAGACGGTAACGAACCAAATGAACACCTAAGGGCCGGCAGTAACGAGAGTAAGGAAGGAAAGTAGAGAAGAATATGCACACTCCCAGGACTCGAGGATCGTCGTCGTTGTTAAGGGGTTGGAGGGTAAAAGAAAGAGAAGGGAAAGAAATGAGTGGAAGAGGTCGACAGTGGCAAGAAATGCTAGGTGACAGATGGCGGATGGAGATGGGCGGGGAGTTTTTTTCCCCTTGGGTTCAGGTTGAGGGCCAGGAATTGCCAAGGCCAAGTGCCAAAGTCAGTATGTCCAAGAGCTGTCAGGCCAGAGGAACAGGAGACGCCCGTTGCCGCTGAGAATGCTCCTTTCTTCCCACCCTCGTGGTCGAACCCCTTGGTCTCGGTATCGTCTACTTTTGTCTTGGTGTGCTGCTCTTCTCGGTAAAGACAGGCGTGTGGGTGGTCATGTGTCGACGCGGAAGAGAGATGGAGAGAGACACAGGCTGTCGACCGATACGGCTGTGACTTGAGCCGCACTGAAGTTTGAGTTGGTGAATTCCAGTTCAGGTACCTCTGGATCCTTGGGACAGATACGGGTAGTGGACTAGACTCCGAGAACGTCGATAGTCCTTTCGAGTCCGGGGAAGCAGCGGCGGAAAGGAAATTGGAAGCAGGGTCTGGCTAAGTGGACCAGCTGCACGGGATGATTCGCCCAAGATTGGATTGGACGAGCGGGAGTCTCGAGGGGGAAGGAAGAGGTCAAAAAAGAAGAATTGTAATAATACAGGACGGAATAAAAGGGAGGATTAGGGAAGAAGGAAGGACAGACCCGGAGTGACGACGACTCGGAGGAGCCAAGATTGAGCTAAGACCAAGGTACTTTTTGGTGGTCGATGACCACTGCACATCAGGTATCAAAGTATCCATAAGGTAACGGTAGTCAGGGCAGGTACGGATATTGGATTGTTATTGTTGCTGCTGCTGCTGCTGATGCGGCGGTGCGGGCGGTGTCCCAAATGATTACCTTACGATGTACCTCTTGTTCAGCGCATGGCAGGAAGGAAGGGATGGGTGGGCGGCACTAAGAGAGGAGGGCGTCGGAGCGGGAAGCAGCCACGCAGCCCCATGTGAGGTGCGGAAGGAGCAGGGAGCCGCTGGTGAAGGTGCGGTGCAGGTGCGAAGAAAGGCACTAATGCGAGGTACCTTCCTCGGATAGCAATTAGGGGGAGGCAATGTCCAGCGTGGCGTAGCGGGCGGGACGCCGGGACTGGCGGAGAGGGAGAGGTCATCTCACCGTCCGCCTTCCAACACTCCCCATGGAAGTTCCAGGTGCTATTTGGTTCATCAGGTCGGGTACATGTTAATCAGCTTGACCGGCACATCAATCTCCTTTCTCATGGCACGCATGTTTTGAAGAGTTGATAGACAGAGGGAGTCCCTGGCGTCCTGAGCGATGCGAGGAGAGGGACACGCACACAGACGTCTCAAAGTTGCCGTCCCGCCCAGACACTCACACACACTTTAGCGGTGGACGTCGCGGTGTCGCATGGCATGGGCTAGGCTTGTCATTGTTCTGTGTACGTCGGTACGCCAGTACGCGTGTTAGGAAATAGCCTACTGGGTCCAGTCGTGGGCACCCAAGGATCTTGGGACCATCGGAATATCAAGCCATGGGGAGGCACGGAGGGGGGGCGCTGACAAGGGCCGGATGGCATTGGCTAGCTCAGGGCCCGGCTGACGGTGACGGTCTGATGTTGGTGGTTCGGTGGGTGAGGTGGGTGATGACCCAAGATATCAGACTTGCCGTGTCGTCCGGCTTGGATGCTTGGTATCGCCGCATCGGTGCCGCATCGGTGACGGTTGAGACCTTAGCCGTGCTGCCTCTTGTCTTGTCTGCAGCCAGCATGGCGGGACTTGATTGACTGATTGACTGACTGCCTGCCTTAGCTCAGCAGTCTGCAGCTGTTTGTGCTACCTGCAAATACGCACAGAAGTTTTCCAAAGTCGTACACGGGAATACCCCGTACTGCTCTTCGTTAGAGTCAGACTCAGACACAGTGACAGACCACCCTCGTCCCTGGTGGCCTTTGGCTTGGCGCATTGCTTTATTCTCCTACCTTGCATCGCCGCTTGCCTTACGCACGGCAGTCGACAGGGAGCAAGCAACATGTTCTATTGCCAGAAAGACTCGCGGCTTTTTCATAGAGCTGGAGTTGAGCACTTGGGGCAAGCCGCGAAAGGGAGGGCGCACTGTCCACTACACAGTACCTCCCGCCGTCAATTGTGGCTGTCCCGGAAGAGCCGTTGCCAGTTGACCAGTTTTAGCACGGTAACTAAGTGTGTAACACCGCTCCCGCCAAGAGAGGCCGCGGCAGAGTGGCTAAATTTCCATGTTGTCTGAGATGGGCTACCGACCGTTGCAGACGCCACCGTCCTCGTCGATTCGTCCGTTGTGCTCCCTTAGTGCTTGGAGAGTCTTGGGGTCTTGGAGTACCTACCTATCGTAAGCAGGTATTGTCGGTACCTTACCTGTTATGCTCTTACTTCTCTCTGGGTCGATACATTGCACGTTGTGCGCCGCATCGTGGATGGATACCTACTCTGTCCTGGCTAGACGTTGATGATCTGAAATAGAGGCTGTAAATTGTGAGCGGCATTTGTATCTCCACGATGGTTTCATTGTGTGAATCTACCTGGCGCAAGAAGCGAAACTGTGGGTTTCCAATGGGAAAGAGATAAGATGCGAATTGCGTGCTGAGGTAAGCGGGGCCATGTTAATCTGCGATTCTGCGCAGTTGCACCTTCCGTCAGTGACCTCACAACGAAGAAAATAGAAAGATGACATAATGGCCCATGATACGTACTTTTTTACATCGAACTGGAAGTGTTCCCGCCGCCATCCTGAGGTCACACTGTCTCCACCGCATCCCGTCCGTTCCCCTTTTCCACTCCCACGGCGCAGCCACAATCCTCCTCCACCTCAGTGTTCTCTGCTGCAATTGCTGTCATGAGCCCCAGTGTCTTGGTTTGACGTGCTACTTGTGCTGGAGCTGGTGCTGGTGCCATGCTTGGCTCGACCATACGCAGTTGGGTACCTACGACCTCCTACTGAGCTTTGCTTCTTGGTCCTCATTTCCCGCCCTGCATCTCTCCTCAGCCAGTCGCATCCAATGTCTTTGAAGTGTCAAGGCTGCTTCCCGCTCGGTTTTCCTTTGGTTTGCTTGCAGCACCTCGCGGCTTGGCTCTGCAGCCGTCCCTTATTTGCTGTCATCAACCATCACCCTCTCCACCGAGCTTCCACCGTTCCGCTCCTCCCTCCCCTAAAAAAGCCAAGGGAGGGAACCAAACCCAAAATATGAAGGAAAAAAGGCTGGGCATCGCCAGACTTCGGATTCATCGGCTTCTCTTTCTTGTCAGCACACTGCAGCAAATCAAATTGCGCCCAGCTGATCAGCCAACTCAATAATCCGAACACAGTATGTGCAGGGCAGCCTCCTCCTCCCCCTCCGTGCAGCAGCTGCAGGGCCACAGACAAGAGAGTAAGAGAAACATGAGACAGGCATCGCCATGCTGCCACGCGCACGTCTTTCTGCTGGAGCCCTGCCTAACACTTATCCCTCACCTAAAGCTAGAGTGAGACCTGCCAAATAAACCTCCCGTGCCATGACAGAACACACGGTAGGGTACTTACTGATGATATCAATGGGCCGAAACCTGTGAGCAGCCGCAGACAGAAGACGAAGTATCCAGATAGATTGCCTTCGGTAACTACTGCTCTTCAGACTTCTCCGACAGCCCCTACATCATTACGGAGTATTCAACCTTTCGGCTCGCTCGCTCGCATCTCATCAAGCTAGATTTTCCTCCTTGGATGCTGGACCCTGCCTAGAGCCGCATTTAAATGAGATCGGCCAGTGATAATGACTCTCTTACCCACGCGCTAAGGAACGTATGTATACCTGAGTATTCGTACCGAGCACACAGAGCACTAGAGTCGCTTTACCCCCACTTTTCCGCCTGCTTTTTTGTTTTTGGCTTTTTTCTTGATATGAAGAAGGGACGACAGCTGGAGTCTTGGAGAGTCAGTCTCCAAAGTCTGTTTAGAAAGCTCGGGCATGCGCAAGCCTTGTAGCTTAGGTAGCTTTACGGGAATACCTAAGTAAGTTACGTAGGGTCTGAGGCTTTTTAGATCAAGAATTGATAACAACGCGACAAGATGCGGATTGCCAATCATGCACCAGCAGCAGCGGCCGCTCAACTGGAATCAATCACTCTGTGGAATTTCTCCAAGTGATCCCACATAGATAAAAACCAGACTTTGAGACATCAACAAGACCCGCCGCCTAAACGCAATTAAACGTGTTCTAGAGCTTGATGGACTGATCCAGCTTTTGCCAGTGATCACTGATGCTCCCAGACTCACCTTAGCTAACTCGAGCTTGCTCGCCAGCTAAGGTAGGTGTGCTCCAAAAAATGCTTCCATTCCACTTTATCCAGGTTTCTTCATGATTGATCCCGCCGAACCCCGGCGGGGCACAGTCCCACGCAATTGGCCAACCTGGTGGCAGGTATTTGCCTTTTCCATCCCACCCCTTCTTGTTGATGTTCTCCCAAGTTCCGTACTCCAGTAGGTACCTACCGTCCCCCCGGTCTGCCAGAGATAATAGCTGCCCTTCCTCCAATTGAACCACATCCCCGGTCTCTCATCCCGCAATTACACTGTATCTGGCTCCTCTCCTTTATTAACTGGCCCCGTTTCGCTAGGTACTTGGCCATAGGATTCTTGTGGTTCCCCCTTCCCCCTTCCCCCTTCCCCCTTCCCTTGCCGTCCGGCCGCACCAGGATGAATCAGGGCCCCAGGCTTACGCGGCTGCCAAGGGTGGTTATGAGGGGCGCTCTTTTCTTCCCAAGACAAAGCTCAACTTCGGACGCAAAATCCCACCCGCCACCGCACTGTACGAAAGTACATCCCACCGCATCTTTGGCCCGTCGGGCTTGTTCATCCCGCCCACCAGTCACAGAGCTCTATCCGTACGGTACCTACCACAGGTTGAGTGACTTTCACTCTTTCCCAGACCCGCGAGACCCTCCAACCACCCCCGCCAGTCTCCAGACTAGAAATGAGGATAGATGACGATGATGACCTGGCAGCCACTGATCGATGATGGAGAACTGCACCCCGAAGCCCTGTCGCCCCCATCTAAACCACCACCACCACCTCATCCAAAGTGAGTTAGAGCGCACTCATACCATTGTATAGGTAATCAACCCGTGAGAGCAGAGGATCCCGAATGGGAAACACGGCGGCATCCGCTCTGCTTTATGTAGAGCAGCCGCCAGCACGCTGTAAAACGAAGCGGCGTCACGGTGAGCCGGCCAGTAGGTAGGACACTGCACTGGAGTCTGGTGAGAGAGCCCGGCTACTAGCTGCCGTTTAGCTCAAACGGGCGGGCAGATTTCACGCACAATGTACATCACACACACGACGCCGGCGGCGGCCCATCACCACCAGCGCCAGCGTTAGCACCAAAACGACAGCGACAGCGCGATCGACTACGAGAGGCCGTTCGAGAACGATGGGGTCGCATCGAGACTAGAGCAAGCCGAACCGGCCAGATTTTGCCGATGTAATTATCCCCAAACGCGCAAGCCTAGGTTTGATAGGCGGATTGGACATTCAGGCTTTTGAGTTCTGTTGTATGAAATGTGAGAAAAAGCGTTGCGTACGTGAGCGTGTCCACGACGCCTTCTGTCCACTATTGAGTATCGCCTCGTGACAGAAGATGCCGTATCGCCCGTGGCCGTGGCTGAGTCCTGCTTTCGCTCCCTTTACTGTGGTAGACACGTCGTAAGCTCTCCCATATAAGGGCGGGGGCGATAAAGCGATAAAGCCAAAGTGTATGAGATGAGAAGCCGTGATGCCGGGTTTCGTTTCCATTCAATAGACTCGGGAGAAACCCAGACAGATCTGAGAGACCCCTTACTGCGCACCTGCACTGCTACTCTACGTACGGATAGTGGCGGAGGATCAAGTCTTGTTTCTGGCTTTTTCCTTTTTTTTTTCTTGCTGTCTCGATGTGGTGTGCTCTCCTGATCTCCGAGCCTCGAAGTACCCTTACTGTTTGAGGAAGCTCCCTTGGGTTAGCCAGACCAGCCCAGGTACGTGTGTAATTTATCGTGTGCCGGGGCCGGGAGATGGTTGTAAGTCACCAGCTCACCCACTCAGCCCACTTACTCATTCGCTCAATCATTTACTCACTCATGTCATTCTCATTCAATCACCATTGGAGGATGCATCTAATGTTTATTGTTGGAAAGTATTCCGAGTGAGAGTCTGGCAGTCTGGAATCCGTACTTCATCTCTTGTACACCGTAACGGCAAATGAACAAGAAGGGGGCTCGAAAAAAGGAGGACTGGCAGTGAGCAATGCCGCCAGCCGAAACGTCATTGATGCCAAGCGCGGAAGCGAGAAAGATGCCCGTTTGAGTATCTCGGCATCCTCTGCTTCCTCTTCTTGTCCTTCCACCCCGGTGGGTCATGTCTCCTCTGCCATGATCCATCCCTCCCTCCCCTCTCCACCCTGTGCCTGTCCTCAATCCCGTGTGTTCACTCTCTGAGATAGTCAGTCTCCGTACCGTGCTTCCCACTCCTATTCCCACCCTCACTCCCGTCCGTCCTTCACCTGGGCTACCTGTCTTGCCGTGTGCCCGTCTCACCACTCACTTCACTCCCCCATTCCTTTTCTCTCCACACGTCCTTTCAACCCTTCCGGTTCCTGTCGTTCCCTTTTCTAAAAACTTACCTTAATCCTGCCCTGCCCCCCTGTTCCCAGACCCTTTCTGAATACATTGCTGCGTCGGATTTAGCTGACGCCTCGCAAAGCCCGCGATCCGAAGTCTTGGGTTCATCTACAGCCTGTTCCACTGAGCAAACGCCCTTGCCTTGTGCCTTGTACCTCCCGTCTCTACTATCCGCCCCCCAATTACCACACCTCACACCTCATCTACCTCCCTCCATCTATCCAGGTCCCTATTTTCTTTTATTCCTTCTTCCTTCATTCATATTGTCAACCACACACTCCTTCGATCGCTCTGCCTCTCTCGTTTGGACCTTTTCTCTCTTTTATTTACACTTTGTCCGCATCGTCCGCAGCCGTTCCTCCATTCGTCGCTTTTTAGTCCGATATTTTTTAAGCTCGACTACCTGACGCACGCCCGTTTGCCGCCCAAATCCCCCCGCCCGCTCGGGACCGATCTACGTCGTGAAACCAGGACAGTCGTCAGCTTTCTCGACTTAAACCCCCCCTAAGCGACAGGGAACTTGTGGACGAACACACGGTCTCTAAACAAATAAACGAAAGAGGATTCCAACACCTTGCGACGAAAACGTGGAAAACCCAAAAGGCTCAACCTCTTTCTCAACAACGATCCAAACGCCAAAAACCCACCACTTCCCACACCCTACCGTTCCGACGACGAACCCTTTTTGGAAGCAATGGCGGAATCCAGCAACCTCAAGAACGAGGCTCGACGGAGCGAGGAGGGCCACGGCCTCCTCAACGGCGATGAGAAGCGAATCGAAGAGAGCTACGATCTCGAAGCCAACAGCACTGCAGCCACCGAACAACAAGCCAACGCCGACAGAGTCCGCAACCCCGTCGAGTACACCATCTCACCTCAGGTCAAGTTTGGCTGGTTGAGCGCCTATTTCATGTTCAGCTTGGTTTTGACCCTCTACAACAAGTTGATTCTCGGAGCGGTATGTACATTGCCTCTATCATTGCATGCGTGAGCTCCGAATTCTCATCAATATCGTTGAGAAAACGAATGAGCAGCGATGAAATGATGGGGAAAAAAGCACCCTTTCCGATGAGCTTCCTCTAACTTTCATTCTAGTTCCCCTTCCCGTGGCTTCTCACCTCACTTCACGCCACGTGCGCGAGTTTGGGTTGCTACTGCTTGCTGCAATGCGGCTACTTCACCATGTCCCATCTGGGACGCCGCGAAAACCTCATTCTCCTCGCCTTCAGCTTGCTTTTCACCACCAACATCGCCGTGTCGAACCTGTCACTGTAAGTAACCAAAATCCTTCCTCTTTGGGCCTGTTCTGTGCTGCGCCGCATGATGGTGCGCATTCCGCCCGCACCTCCGCCGCCGCCGGAAGGGGCGGAACCCGAATAACTTGACGAGCAATCATGCTAATTCGCTGCGCAGTGCCATGGTCTCCGTGCCATTCTACCAGGTCCTCCGAACTACCGTCCCCGTGTTCACGGTTCTCATCTACCGCGTTGTCTTTGGTCGCACTTATGAGAACATGACCTACCTGACGCTGGTTCCCATCATGATTGGTGCTGCTCTGACCACGATTGGCGAGTACACTTTCACCGACCTGGGCTTCCTGCTCACCTTTGCGGGCGTGGTGCTTGCTGCGGTCAAGGTACGTTATTTTGGGTTTGCTCATCTCCCGTCCATCATCCGAAATACAACGCTTTGTCGAGTTTGCGGAGAGTGGTCCCGGCGACTCCAATTGGGTCCGCCATCTCCGCCCTCTGCGCCCTCTGAAACTCAGCCAGCAAACCTTCGTCCCATTTACAGTGCTACTATCAATGCATTTTACAGTTACTAACGAACATGTTAACAGACCGTCGCTACCAACCGCATTATGACCGGCCCCCTGGCCCTCCCCGCTATGGAGGTCCTGCTGCGCATGTCGCCCTTTGCGGCTATGCAATCTTTGGCCTGCGCCATCGCCGCCGGCGAGCTCGGAAACCTCAACACCATGCGCGTGGAGGGTAACATCAGCCTCGCCACCCTTATCGCTCTCCTCGGTAACGGAATCCTCGCATTCGCCCTCAACGTTGCCTCTTTCCAGACGAACAAGGTCGCCGGTGCCCTGACGATGAGCATCTGCGGTAACCTGAAGCAATGCCTGACGGTTGGCCTCGGCATTATCGCCTTTGGCGTCGAAGTCCACCTCTTCAACGGCTCCGGCATGATCCTCACCATGATTGGTGCTGCGTGGTACAGCAAGGTCGAGCTCGACCGCAGAGCCCGCAAATAAACTGGCTCACATGGATTGGCGAGCTGCGCATTTCATACTGCGCGTGTAACGAATATCAGTAACGGCCGAATATCATATAGAACCGGGCGCAGGCAAAGCCGGGTCAGCCTGTGAGGGTGTTGGGGTGTATCGGGAAGGCTTCTGGTTGTATCAACCACCGGAGCCGCGGTCGACGCCGTCCAACAGCCACGGAGCTACGGGACAGGGCAAGACGATCTGCCGCACATCGTGGCGTCGGGAAACCCGCATGGGTTAGGGCGGCGCCGGCGGAAGCCAATCAAAGCTGGCCGTCCAAAAAAGCCGGTATCGCTTCCGCCTGCTTCCCCCCTTTCCGCTAGGGAGTTCCTTGCCGACGCACCGCACTCTGGACAAGATGATGCCGCGTGTAAGATGGAGGAGCCGAGTGCACCAACGAAACAGAAGCATGCATGCCGTGGGCCATAGGGTTCGCGCATCGATTTATACCCTTCGCATGGAGTAAAGGAAACGGGCATAAACACGGGATGTTTTCATCAAAAAGGGCTAGGGAAAAGACTTCATTTGTCCTCTAGAAACCCTGGGCTTTTTTTTTCTTTTTTTTTTCTTCTTTTTTTTTTCTTCATTCACTTCTCAATTTACCGTCAGGTAATAATACAAACATTCAAAAAATGATCTTAACCAATGTTCCCCATACGTTTTCGTTTATGAGAGGTAGTGTTGACTGTTCCGGAGTGCTCACCTCAAGACCAAGTGTGATGATTATTCCCGGACTAGATGACGGGTAGTCATCTGCAAGACACCACCCCACGCGGGCACATCCCGTGGGCGGAGTGGGTGTGGTCGGAGTTGTTCATCCCCCCCCCCCCCCCAATTCATGCTGCCCTTTCCCGGAAAAGCCATCTGCTGCAGAAAAACGACATGCGCGAGCGCTGACCGAGAAAACGCAGGCGGGAAAACCTGCTGATGGTGCCGTCATGTGAACTCGATTGGGACCCCATTTTCCCCCACACGCACTACCTACTCAGCTCAGCTCACTTCACTCAGGTGAGAGATAGAGATTTGATAAACGCTGCTTCCATCCATCAACTCTTCCCACGGGTTTCTCATGAGTGTTAATTGTAATGTTTGTTGTACAATGGCAATTTGGAAACCGCCTTGAAAGAAACCCCGATAAAAAGAAGAAGAGATAATCTACCTTAATAATGTCGATTGATACCCGACCCCGCAGAGATGACGACAATCTCGCCGTCGCGAAAGCTTCGAGACAAGGCCATGGAGGGTTTACTTCGATGATACCGTCGATTCTATGCGATGCGGCAGAGATCAACCCAGTTCCGGGGTCAGGGGCCCGGGACGCGGGTGGGCAAGGTACCACCGACGGCAAAGACATCGAGACCAAGGACACCGAGACCAGAGACGACGACGGCAAAGTCGCGGCGTTCCTGGCGAGGAACCGACTCCACCCCTCCGCCATCGCGGCAGCGCACGAGTTCGCGCAGGCAATGTTCCCCGGGTACGAGGTCGAGAGGGCGCCGTTTCAGGGGTACTGCTCTTATACGCTGCTCCTGAGGCCGCTTCCCGGTGGAGCGGCGGGACGGCGGCGGGATAGCGGTATTGAGGCCGGCGGAGGGGAGAGCGTCGAGAGTCAGAGCCAGAGCGAGAGCGGTACGAGTTGGAAGAGCGGCGGCAGTAGTGGCGGTGGCGGAAGACTCGTTCAGTTTCGACCTCGGAGGCACGGTATTGATGTCGAGATGTGTGTCGAGGCTAGGGGCGTACTTGGGGATGGGGTCGTGCCGGGTGTGGAGGGGCTTGGTGTGTTAGAGGGGCTGGATACGACGGCAACTCGTGGCGGAAAGGGGAAGAAGGACGGGGAGTTGTGTGCGTATCTCCTGGAGAGGGTCGGCGGTGTATCCTTGACGGGCTTCCGGAGGATATCTGCGGGTCTGGAGACGGACCCGAGAGCGTCGAGAAGGAGGCTTGTTGCGGATCTGGCTGTTGTCTTTGCGGATTCGTGGAGGGGGAGGCGGGAGGATTTCGGGGACGGACGCGGACACGGGGGTGCGGGCGGCAGAGGGCGCGTGGGAGGGAGTTTGGCGTGGCGGTTGGAGATTATGGGAAAGGGGTTGCCTTGTGAGTTTCGGGACGTTGTGAGGGATGTCAGGAGGGATCTTGGGGGTATCGAGAGGTTGCCTTGGGTTGTTACGCACGGGGACCTCGTGCCGGATAATATCATGGTTCATCCGCCGCGCGAGGAGGCAGAGGACGAGGGCGGCGAGGCGTGGGTGAGGCGGAAACTGGGGTGGGGGAGGGAGGAGAGGGCTGGCGGGCTGGTTGGGTTGATTGACTGGGCCGAGCTGGAGTGGCTGCCGTTCGGGGTGGGCATGTACGGGCTCGAGGAGGTGTTGGGGGAGGATGTTGTCGTTGGTGGGAGTAGCGATGTTGACTTTGTTGCTGGTGGGAGTGCTGCTACTACGACGGCAACGATTACGACTACGACGATGACGACGACATCAACGAGATTCGAGTACTATCCCGAAGCAGCCTCCCTCCGCGCACTCTTCTGGGACGAGGTCGGACGCGTGGTGGGTGACGAGGAGGTCATTCGCCGGGCGAAGAGGGCTCAGGTCCTGGGGGTACTGCTTTGGAGGGGCATTGCCTTTGATGATGGCGCGCTGGGGAGGGTCGTGGACGGGGCGAGGGACGCGTGGGACTTGCAACGCTTGCGGGCTTGGGCTTTCGAGGATGGGGGTCTCGGGTTGACTCGTGGCAAGGTCGAGGTTGAGGTGGTTCGTGGGGGGAGCGAGAATAAAGGTAGTAGACGGTTGTTGAAGAAGGTTATGGGATGGATGAGAGGGTGCTTTAAGGGGTTGTGAGATGGCTCATGTGGGTGTTTGGCTGAGTATAGAATTGGGAGACTAGACCATATATGGAGTTCCGGGTGATCTTTGAGGGTTTCCAAGACTTCGAGACGGATTTAATCAATTCATTTGGGCAATGAAGCATCATGAATGCCTTATTGAGAATGCGGTTTCGACTTCAAAGTACTCGCAAATGTGTACAGAAATCCCTTCTATATACCCAACCCACTCAGCATCCTTGTGAGCGACGTGACTCTAAGCCCTTTCGTCATAAGTTCTAAAATCTTTTGCTTTTTCAATGTAGTTTACTCTCATGTTCACACCTTGGTTCCAAAAACTGGTCCAAAGTGAAGAGGAAGATGAGTTTAGGACGCCCCTTGCTTTTCTTCTGTGAATACGAATAGTAGAAACGGACGAGCTCCACGAGGCAGAGAACAATCTAGCAATGTTCACGGCCTAGAATGTTGATAAAAGTGTTCTGGTTTCCCTCCTGTTGGCAGCATCTCTAGTGATAGAAAGTGAGTATACTATATGTTTGTAAACAAACGTCGATAAGCAAAAAAGATCGCGGATTTCACATCTCGGAGTTCACGAGTATTGATATACGGGCAAAAAAGATGAGTTTTTTTATCCCGATTTAGTCGTGGCTTTAGGCGTTAGTATGCAAATGACCTCCTCTCCATGTCCCAGGCTCATCATCATTAGCACTACTAGAAAACCAAATCGGGGACTCTGAAAGTAGCAGCAAGGTTAGCAGTTCGACTTATCTAAACATGTTCCTACCCTTCTTGTCTAGAGATTTGGCAGCGCCTTTCCAAATGAAATTTGCCATCTAGACGAGTGATCACCTAGGACTGAGGTTTTGTAGATTGTGCTTGTGGGCAGAGGCATCATTCATGTTACCCAAAGTTACGGATGGCCCGAAGACTCTCGTGAGAATGTTCCTCAGATACGTGGTTGACAAATTGAACAGAAACTGACGAGGGCCGAGTTTAATAGAACTGGCCAAGGAATTCCAGTTCTCTGGTCCTCTCATTACTCACTTGTCTGTGTAAGTGCCTTGGCTTTGTCCCCCTACAATTCGAACAGAAGCGGTGATGAATCATGTTACTAGACGAAGTTATCCACCTACTATGTCCTGTGTGATAACAGACGAACAAGAGGGCCGTCTCCTAAGATTGACGCATCCGCCGAAAATCCTTCAATGGCTGCATCATGAGCTTCTATGCCACTCTTCTCCAAGGTCTACGAAGCAAGTTTGACTGTAGTTACACTGTCACATAGTCAGGCCATCATCTCCTTGTCCCAATTACTTTACTACACAAGGTTACAGTTCCGATTCAACCGAACCAACCCCGTCAATTGCGTATGACCGTCCAAACCCCAAGCCCCAAAATCCCCCGCCCGCCCCTTTTCTACTATTCCATACCCAGGTCCGGGCCATCATACATTCAGCCAAAGCTCTTCGAAGTAGTAATCAGACCCACTACCTGTATACTGCAGTAGATCAACTGGCTACATTCCTTATCTATTCGGGAGGAGCTCGCTAAAGCACAATAACAGGTAAGATCACGTATCAAAGGGCGATTGCCACCTTATCACGCTGGTCACGATACGGTAGCCTCGTGAGCAGAGAGCAATACCCTACGAGCTTCACACGGAAGATGAGAGACCGGGTAGAGATGCGGCAGAGACTAGAAGCGTGCCCGGACTGGGACATATCGTTCGCCGTCACGGTGTAGGTCGCGAAACGCAATGGCTAGATGCAGTCTTGAGATGTGCGCAGATGGGCCAAGTATCAAAGTGAATGGTACCAACACCAAAGAGGAGAAGGACGGGACAATTGTGATTCGATGCTTCGTGATGAGAAGATGGGGGATGGACTGGATTTCTGGGGAGCGGGAAACCCCTTATATACGCAAATTCCAAGGAGGCGGGCGAACCACGCTTCCCACTTGATTCATACAATCAGCGCCAGCCACACCAGGCGAACCAGGCGGACCAGCACCAACGCTCACCCACATCAGATGTAAGCCATGATCAGGCTATCGCCGACCTTCTTCACAGCGAACACGCATGCACACTATGGAATGGAACTTACGCATGCCCTGTACAAATCATACTTCCACTTTCCCCCATCAAACATCTAATCATCCTTACCCGACTATCCAACAAAAAGAAAGCCTGGAGCCCGATGCCTTGAAGGCGAAGAGACAGGTTGAGAATCAGTGTCACCGGAGACCACCTCAGTAGTTACCAGATACTATATTTCCCGATTCAAAAACAAACATTTCCCGATTCCAACCAGCCAACACGGCAAGCCACCCCCACGCGCTTCGAGAGCTAGAAGCCGGGTTACAACGAGGCAGCTTCCAGGCAGGCAGACAGGAGAGAAGCCTGCAGCCTGCCGCGGTGTTGCAGCTGGGCTTGCAGCCTGCAGAGCCGTCGGCCCCCAAAAGATGTGACTGCGCCTCGAACGGGCCGCCTTGCACTTTTTAACAAGCAACAAGAAAGACGGGAATGCGTTGTAAGCCTCACTTTGGCCGGGCGAAGCGGGCGGGAGGACGCAGTGTGCTGATCTCCCCCCTCAGCCTGCATGTGGCATGCATCTCTGGAAAAGTCCAATAGGGGTTGTTCTTGGATGTGACCCTGTGAATGGCGCCCTCGAATAAGTTTCCCGAGGCACCTTGAGTCTCGAGGGTTGAGCCGCTGCTATACGCCCGCATATGTCATCGGGAGCGGCTGGGAGTTGTTCCGATTGATCCGGCTCGTCATACTGGACCGTATCAAACAATCCCGCAACACTGTACAACAAGTAACCCCTGCTCTAACCTCAACCACAGCTTACAACAACCGCTCATCATATACCGGCCACGGCCATGGCCTCCCTTACACCGACGACGATGATGGATGCTCTCTCAACCTGGCCGCCGGCCCATTGGTGCCAGATATTCTTCGGGCTCTCAACAGCAGTAGTGTTGGCTATCCAGGTAGTGCCAAAGACGACCCAGCGTCTTCTTCTCGACTACGGCGCCCGCTCGCCGGCTACTACCACCGACACCGACGACCGGACCAAGGAGCCCACTGGTCCCAATAGATTGGACTTCTTCACGCAAGCCGCCAAAGCTGTGACTTCCTTTGGTCAAATCCCACACGCGTGGTTCATGCACTTCTACGTCGCGTCCGTTGCAGGTTCGGCTTTCTGGGCATGGCAGTATTTTCAAAGCGGTTCAGTCATGGCCATCATCTCTGGCCAGCAGGCGGCTTCGGGCGGCCCGGTTGTGAGCTTCGAGCAGACAGTGCTCGTCTGGACATTGATGGCGCTGCAAGGCACGAGGAGATTGTACGAGTGTCTCTTTGTGATGAGACCGGGGTCTTCTAGGATGTGGTTCGTTCATTGGCTGCTTGGTTTGGGTTTCTATCTCTGCATGAGTGTATCCGTCTGGGTTGACGGCTCAGGTGAGGACCGTCATTTTCCACTTTCAGATACACACTCACCTTTCCCAGCCGCCTTGAGGCAAGAATCAAGGCCAAACTTGGAAGGCCTTCTGTCACCTGGGGTCGCCGCTGGGACCGTCGCGTACCTCTACGGATGGTCTAATCAGCATAAATGCCACAAACACTTGGCCAGCCTCAAGAAGTATTCATTGCCGGAGGAGGGCCTTTTTCGGTATCTCATCTGCCCTCATTACACTTGCGAATGCCTGATCTATTTGGGCCTTGCCATGATAGCCGCGCCAAAGGGCTACATGGTGAACCGCACCCTCACGGGTGCTTTGTGGTTCATTGTCGCCAATTTAGGCACAACGGCAGATGGGACCAAGCAGTGGTACGCGCAGAAGTTTGGTGCTGAGAAGGTCGCCAGTAAATGGAGGATGATACCCTTTGTCTTTTAGACACACTTGCGCCTCGAATATCACTTCTTTCCAAACAAGCCAAACTTGGCCCCGAGTTTCGACACCTGCATGACGTCCCGGTATGTCAGACTCGTCCTGGTCGCGCGTGCGCTTCGGCCAGCAGAAAAGTCATCCTGCGAACGCAAAAGGTCCCAATTCACGATCGTCTCGGCAGATAGCTCAACGTCCTCCTCGACATCGGCTATGCCGTGGAGGTAATCGGTATAGAGGTCGTCGGTGGTGATAAGAAGACTCCTGGGCTCCTGAAGAATGCGTCCCACAGGCTCTGGGTCCATGGCACCATCCTCCTTGGTTTGGTATAGGTTCAGACACAGACTTGCTCCAAGACTGACAGTACACACAACTGGATGATAGGCAGCCCCGTCCTATAGCCAGCATGAGATTCAAAGCTCTTCACGTGAACACCTACCATGTACTCAACTTATGCGGCATGATTCCTACTCCCGAAGGATACTCGTTTATCAGCACGTGGTTCGGTCGTTTGTGAGGACTGCTAGCGAAGAGATTGGACGAATCAGAATCGGCGGCAAGAGGTAAGGAAAGAATTCGCGAGATCACAGGCTCTTGCAACCACTGTGGCAAGGGAGCATCGATCAGCTTGTTGTTGACGAGATCGGACGGCCATGTTTGGAGACGTCGATGAGTCAGTTGCTTCCAGCGGGGTTTCGGCGCCTCAGCTATCTGTTGGTTTCAAGGGCAAGTCAGCCACAGCTGTTGGCTCGACGGACGTCGTCGAAATAAGTTTCCGTACCTTTTGTAAGATTAAGCGTTCCTCCTCCTCTGATATGAAGTCCGCAATGTAGTAAGAGGACGGCGGAAGCTTCTTGACTCTGACGTCGTCGAGGGAGGCAGGTAAGTTCACGGCTGCCAAAGGCATATTGCTGGCTTCGCCTCGCAGCTGTGTGGTCGCAGACGTTTGATAGTCGGGACACAGGTGGTGTGATCTGGGGCTGCGCCCAACTTTATGGATGGGGATCCCAAACGAAGTGACGTGATGTTGGTTGAAGGGGTCGGGAAACCTAGGTCGCCGAAGCTTGTCGCAAGTTGGCACGAGGTGCGCAAAGGTCGTCGACGTAAGATCCAAGCTCCGGCTGCAAAGCGGCATAAGAGGCCAAGAGTCAAACGGTTCTGCGTCCAGCTGGGAGGATCCAGGCAACGACGGAAGCGACGAGGACGGCAAGGTTGGGTGGAGAAGCAAGGACGGGAGCTGGATCATGGATGGATGGAAGCGACAGGGCAAGAAGACGTCCAACTCCAGTCTCCGACCTAAGACTTGAGCGCGCCTGCTTGTGGTTGTCAGACACGCCAAACCTGAGGTCGCCAGTTGCCTCAAGCAGTCAAGGATGGGAGGTATTGCACTAATAACAAGAAAAGGCGAGAACGGACACCTGCTTAGAGTACACTAGGTCTAATCGGGAAACGGCAGGTCGATTAGTCACAGGCAGCGTGTGACTGACGGTAAGGTGTCCGTTCCCAGTGGTAGTGGTGCTATCCGCCACAGTGGGTGATTGGCTGGTCTGGTCCCGCTTCATGAGCTCTCCGTTTTGAATGTCGCTCATGATTCGCCATTTGAATTCAAGATGCGACGGCCGGGGAGGGGGAAGAGGAGCCTGCTGCGACTCTGGAGGGGGCTAGGATTGGCCGAGGTGGGGCATGGGGAATTTGGAGGCTTCGATACGTACCATTCGAGTCGCACCAAGAACACGCACCGGGCAGATTCGAGGTTTTCCACCAGCGGGAGAAAGACGAGTTTTTGGACTAGCAAACCACAGAAAAAAGCCTTGGATGGACGAGCTACTCGTTTTGCATTAGAACCATAGGAGATTTCCGCAGGTTAGTGTGTCCAGGGTCAGGTGGCCTAGCGACAACGTGCAGCCAGCGATGCAGCTTGCGAAGAGAAACATGACGGCGTTGCTATCTCAATCTCACCCTATCTTTCTGAAGCAAGGTGGGTGCCGGGGCTAACGTCCAGGTTGAATCCTAGGTCGTTTGGTCTGCCACCCAAGGAGGCAGCGTACTTTTCGTCGACGCCGGGTACTTGTAGATACTGCAAAACTCCGGTGGGATCCCAAGTACCGCTTGTCGAATTCGACCCCAGTACGTACCTAGTGCCGACTGCTGGCTGATGTGGCCACCTCAGTCGTCAGGCTGCCACTGCCAGTGCCGCTACCACCAGGTGCCTGCTGCACACCTCACTTTCCATAGCCTGCTGCTTGCCTCAGGGCTGCGTGCTGTGTGCTGTGTGCCTGCTTGTCTGATGCCCGGCTGCTACTGCTGCTTTCTCTGTCAGGTCTCCTGTCTCCTGTCTCCTTTGCTGGTTGTGGCTGTTCCGTGTCCCGTATTCTCGAGCAAGTCCCCTCCCCCCTGGTCGGGCCCAATCAAAGAGGTGGCGATCAGACTTTTTGACTCTGAAGACTCGCTCGCGGCCCCATTTCCACCTTTCAGCCAAATCGAAGCATCAAGCGTCACCAACAGTCTCTTTTCCCGCATTCTCTACCAACGCCCGCCTCCGTCCATCTCGCCCGCATTATTCTGTCCCGGCCAGGCGCTTCCTCAGTCGTTTTTCTGTTCCTTTCATACTCGACGTGATCCGATATCCAATACGCAGCATTTTCCTCCCCGTCCGACACCCACGCCCAACGCCTTTCTCGCGCGCGCACCCCCCCGTGACTGACCTGGCCACTTTCTCTTAGGGGGGTCACCTCGAGCGACTGAGAATTAGTCTACCGGCCGTCTTCAATTCAATCCGCCTCTCCAACCCTCTTTCTCGCGGCCGACCTTTGGCCAGGATGGTGCTGGCCAGTTTTTCGACCTCTAGATAAATGATATGGATGCGCAGAATGCTGCCGGGTCCGACAAGTCGAAGCCCGTCGCTGCGGCGGAGAAGCGACCGGGCAATCACCAACCTGACGAGTCTCACGAGTCCAACAGCAAACCGACCAAAAACGTGGACGATTCCATCAAATCCCCGCCTCATCTATCCAAAGACGTCAAGCCTAGCGTAATCGTATCTCGCGCCCCTCCCGTAGCCGACGATGCTCCTGTCGACCGAGATTCTGATGCCGAGACCATCGTACTGCCTGGCAAGGATGGCCATTCGCCCTCCAAGGCGAGGAAGGTAAAGCACGAGGACCGCAGCGATGGGGAACCCCCGGTTCTCCCCGTTCCCCTGGTTCCCCGGAAAAATCGTGATGCGAGTGCCAGCAGAGATGGCGACAAGGAAAAGACGGCCAATCCTGCCCGTCTGTCCGAAACGGCTTCCTCTCTCGGGCTGAAGAAGAAGCGCCTTCACGATCAATCGGCCAGGAGCAAAGATGGTTCCAGCGGCCTCAGCTCGGCTCCTGCATCCCCTCCCCACCACAGGCGTCGATCTGGTGGGCACTCCGATTCCGATACGGGCGCTGACCGTAGGAAATCCCCCAAGCTGTCCCTGAAAGACCGGGCAAAGTCCATCGACAGAATTCCCCACAAACGCAAAGCTTCCAGGGCAGACTCGGATGATGAGGCGGAAAATCGAAAGGTCCGACGGCAACGAATCTCGGATCACAACACCATAGAAGCTCGAGCTCGCCTACCCAAGGAACCAAAGTCTTCGTCTTCGTCTAGGAGAGAACACGACGGCCACTCAGGATCACGCACCAGATCCGTCTCTCCACACCACCCACGTGCCCACAGGCGGAGCGTCTCGACCCAACTTCCCGCAAACTCGTCTAATGGCCTGAGTTACAAGAAGAAACGTCTGCCTCCGCCGCTGCAATCTACAGACTATCACTCGGATGAATCCTCTGCCAGTGGTAGCCCTCATCCTCGGAGCTCCAAGCTGCGAAACCTCTCCACCCCCGCCACCGCCGAGTCAAATATGTCGCCGGCCAAGATTGCACCACACAAGAAACACCTCGACGCCCACGGCCAAACCTTCCTCGCTAGGGCATGTGCCCGAGGCGAGTACGACCTGGCCAAGCAAAGACTGGGAGAGCGACCCGAGGATCTCAATGTGGCCGACTATGCTGGCAACACGCCACTTCAGATTGCTGCGATTAACGGATACGAGGACATCGTCAAGCTCCTCATCGACGCGGGCTGCAATTTGGATTGTGTCAACTATGACAAAGACACGCCATTGTTAGACGCTGTCGACAACGGTCACTTGGGAGTGGTCAAGCTGTTGCTGAATGCGGGGGTAAATCCGAGGAAAGCCAACCTGAGCGGAGAGGAACCCTTGGACCGAGTCAGCGACGATTTGGAGAATGCAGACGATTTCCGAGCCGCATTGAACGAAGCCAAGTCACGACAAGGAGAACGCAGACGTACATCCGAAGATCACCACCCTACCGACCAATTCGACAGTAGATCATCTCATGGCCCAGACAGCCCTCGTCGGTCACCTGCACCATCTGCGTCCAACGCCAGCGGTCGGCGAGCCGGCACCGTCAGGGCAAACAAGACAAGCAATCATCTCTTGTACATGTCACTTGACGACAAGACGTTACGGCAAGCTGCAGGAAAGGGCGACGAAGAGACTGTTACGCGGATTTTGCAAGTCAAGGACGGTTGCGATGACTCAGAAGCCATGGTTGCTGCTGCTCGTGGAGGCCATGAAGTGGTGATTCAACTGCTCCTGGCTCTTGGTGGAGCGAACCCAGACCCTGCACCTGTTTCGAGCATGCCACCCGAATTCGCCACCCCAATGTTGGCGGCGATCGGCCAGGAAAATATTAAGGTCGTCAGACTACTCTTGGACCAGGGGAATTTTGATCCGACTCGCCGATTCAAAGGCGAGACCTATCACGAAATTGCCCGCCGTCGACAGGGAACGAACTGGAAAGACGAGGAGCACATGCTCAAGGAGTCTTACGATGCCTATAGAAAGTCACACCGCGACATTTCGAAGACAAAATCTCCTGGCAGACGCGAGCGTGAAAAAGAACGCGAAAAGGACCGCGACAGAGAGCAGGACCGCGAGACAAAGCGCCAAGGTCGGAATGAACTCAAGGATGAAGCGCGTGCGCACAAACGTAACCTCTCTAGCCCGTCCCGTGATCCGGAGAAGAGGAAGAAACTTTCTTCTGGACGAACCATCACAAGTCCAAAGGAGAAACGTAGGGCGGATTCATTTCACGAAGATCAGATCTCACCGAAGCGTGGTCCTGGCAGGCCGCGTAAAGAAGACCGAGTACCTACAATCGCTGTTTCAGACCGAGAGGCTTCACCCGCACTTTCGCAGAAGCAGGCTGCTAAAGCAGCGAAACGAGCCGAGTCCGACGTCGCCGCGATGTCCTCTGAAGGAGAGGCTGCTAAGCCGCGCCGTAAGCTCGTATCCAAGGGGGAGCTTCGTGGCGAGAGAGAAAAGAACCGACGAGCGAGCATGGTGTCCACCACATCATCATTGAAAGATCCTTCGAGCCCCCGCGACCCAACAAAACTTGACGATCATCCCGAGAAGCCAAAGGGCGAGCCGCTGTCGGAGAAGTACCACGATCGCACGAAAGCTCTCAAGAGGGACGAGTCTCGAGATCGGCTATCGGTGTCTGGCGATAATTCGTCCAAACGACATCGTTCTAGTGTCACGCCACCACACTCAAGCACGGGAGACAAGGATGAAGGGGAGGCACCCGTGAAGCGTCGGCGGCTTGATGTTGAGGGTAAGGAGCGACGACCAAAATCGACCGCTTCACCCGATGATCCTCACAGGGCACCTCGTGATGGCCCGCCTCGATCCAAGTCCAGCTTGAGAGACTACGACGACAGCGATCGGAGACCGACTAAGGCTAAGGCAGATGTCGATGGCCACAGACGAGAATCCGGCAAATCGAGCAATAGTGATAAGTCTAGTATCCACGTTAAATCTGAGGATTTTGACATCGAGATGCCAGATGCGTCGGATGTAAAGGACACAGTGGAAGCGGAACCACGAATCAAGAAGGAGCGCGACGACGAGAAGCGGCGTCTCGAAGAGAAGGAGCGTAGGAGAGAAGAGAAGCGTCAAGAAGAACGAAAGCGCCGTGAAGCTGAGGCCGAAGAAACCCGCAAAAAAGAGGAGGCTCGTCAACGCGAACGCGAGGCTGAAGAGAAGAAGCGAGAGGCTGAGCAGAAGAAACGTGAAGCTGAGCAGAAACAGCGTGAGCGCGAGGCTGAGGAGAAACGCCTGAAGGAGGAGGAAGCAGCAAGACATCGTGAGGAGCAGGAACGTAAGCGCAAGGCCGAACTCGAAAAGAAACGCCAGGAGGAAGAAGAACGGCAGCGGCGCGAGGCCGAAGAGAAGAAGCAACGCGAGCGTGAAGAAGAAGAACGAAGGCTCCGCGAGGAGGAGGAGAAGAAGAAGCGACGTGAGGAGGAAGAAACGAAGAGGAAAGAGGAGGAAGCTCGCAAGCAGCGAGAAGAAAAGGAGAGACTCCGCAAGGAACGCATCGAGCGCGAAGCTGCCGAGGAAGCCAAGCGAGTTCGCGAAGAGGAGGAACGGCAAGAGCGTGAGCGCAAGGAGCGACTTGAACGCGAGGAGTTGGAGCGCAAGCGAGCTGCTAAAGAGGCCGAGCAGCGCCGTATCCTCGAGGAGCAAGAACGCGTGCGCGTGGCGAAGCTGCCTCCTCTGTTGCGCTGGCTCGACGCTTGCCCGAACCCCAAGACTTCGGAATACGCCGCCAAATTCAAGCATATGCAAGGCGTGCGGTTCGACACTATTCAGCCGCAAGCAAATGGCACGGCAAACGGTAGAGAACAGTGGGTGCTAAACACCCATGTTGCGCTACTCCTCGGGGAGAAGGACCTCTCCTTGTCAAAATGTAAGTGCTCACAAGATCTTTCCGCGTTGATCATTACTGACGGAAAATTAGATGCGGCTTGGGAACATGTTTCCGTGTCCGACCTCGCTAAAAAGGTTATCTGGAGACTCGAGTCGGATTGGTATGCCTTGCTTAAGGAGAACTTCTACGAACTTGGGACTGGCCTTTCAGATTATTACGGAGAGGGCGAGGATCCCTTCAAGATGAGCTTCCGCTCAAAGGAAAAACTCCGTGGCGAGGCCCGTGAGAAGTTCTTGAAGATGGACATGTTCTTCGTCAAGGTGCGTCTTAATTTTGTCCGGTGATGATAATGTGTGGTTGGGCTGACTCGGAATACAGGTGTCGGATTTGATGTCGATTGCTCAGGACGTTCCGCATCTTCGGGACCTCAAGATGAGCGTTGAGTATCGCGAACTACCAGACAATGAAGGCCAACTCTACGGATGGCAAGTCCCGCAGAAATGGAAACAGGACCCCGATGCTGATCGATTCTTGGGATTCGCGCCGAGGAACAAATATTATATCAACGGTGTCATGGTCGAGGAGCAGATGCCTGGTTTGTCTGCTACAAGCAGCACACCGTTTCCCGAGAAGCGGGTCCCTCGAAAGGGATTGCAGCAGGTTTTCCCTGGCGACCCCGATTATGCCCGCGTGTGCAAAGAACAAGGGCTTGACTTCCTTTTGAATGGCACGAAAACGCCGACGATGCCCAACGGCGGACATTGGTCGCCACGGAGCCAGTCGAATGCCACAGAGGCAATGGTCGAGACCGTCAATGATACCCAGCCGGCAGCCTCCGCTACAGCGCCCGTGTTGCCCGAGCCGAGACTTGTTCCTAATGGCGTTAACGGCGTATCGGCGCCAAGCACCAACTGAGTTGAGTTGGATCACAAGTAGATCGAACGAACCAATATTTAATATACACATGTACACATTGCCACAGCAATCCCCGGATCTTTACGCACCGAGTGCCGATGGAACGTACCAAGGCACCGCTGTGCATCATCAGAGATAGACCCAGCTGCCTATCTGCCCTTTAGCTGGCCTTGCGATCCTTACGATAGGGGCAGTTGCTTGACTTCGAAATGGGGCTGGAGGATGCTCAAGGCGTGTTACTCACGCCAATTTGTGGACAGCAACACCATGGTATTTACTCTTTAGGCCCTGTTGGGTGATAAGACACTATATCGACAAATGGAACTTTCATAGTTCATGAAGCGCAAGAGTCAGCTCTTGTGTGTGGTCAGTTGATGAGCAACGGATTGGATGGCCATGATTAGATCTGGACGAGTGCCGAGAATCAAGAGCTTGGGAGCCTGGGAAGCATTACTAGTTGGGATGGGACACAGGGTTAGGGAAGGTAGACGACGAAAATAACACATTCACAATGCTGTCAGTCCTGGTCATTTCTTCGTGCCTTTTTCAATATCTTCAATAATTGTTGCGCATCATCAATCACCAAACCAAGTGCTGGCGTTTCTTACCTAAGATATGAAAGACTTTTGATTGAACGATTCAGGTTTCTGACATCACTGCGTTCAAAAAACCTGTGCAGCCAATGAAGGCGGTGCATTCCCACCATGCCCCGCTGAAATTTCATGTGCAGTACCTTAGCCTTTTCGCACAAGGTGCCAATGTCCCCGCCATTTTGCACCCCAAAATCCACCACCAGGTGCACAACCAGAATCACCAACTGCCAGAACCATCAACCCAAACCTGGGCAGCGAGACAGAAGTTGGACGACGACGAACGTTACTTATTTGATACCCCCACAAACTCTGCGAGCCACGGCACACTTTCTATTCGCTTTCTCTTCTGCCCGCGGCTTGGACGTCGACGTCGCAATCGGAAAAGCTAGCCATCCATAAATCGAACCCCTCCATACAGCGCAGGAACGTCTCGAGTGACGAAACACCGCAATCATGGCGACCACAGTTGACAAGGTAATGTTTCTCGCCGAGACCTTCATAGCCGGCTAGATTGGATTTTCCATCCTTTCTCCCTTATCTATTCGCGAGGACACCATCTTGACTAACACTTTTGTTCATGTAGATCAAAGATATCGAGGCCGAAGTACGTGTCCAACCCCTCCTTCCCCTTCACCTTCAAACCGAGGGCAACCCTCGTCCCGCCCCCTTTTCCGTCGTCGACGATGTCGAGAAAACTCGAAGGCTGTCTCTGTCTATGACCAGAACGAGGGAACATGCGTTCGTGACGTTGGCGACAGACAGGCATCCGCCCCCGAGAAACCCAAATCTTCGATCCGACGACATCAGGAAAAAATCCCCCTCCACCCTCTACACAGATATATTAGACAAGAACACGACGCGCAAATCAGCAAGCTGACGGAATGGTTTCTCTTCCCTCAAATAGATGGCCAAGACCCAAAAGAACAAGGCCACGTCCTTTCATTTGGGACAACTGAAAGCCAAGCTCGCCAAGCTCAAGCGTGAGCTCTTGACACCCTCGGGTGGTGGTGGCGGCGGCGGTGCCGGCTTCGACGTTGCGCGTACGGGTGTCGCGAGTATCGGCTTCATCGGCTTCCCGTCCGTGGGAAAGAGTACCTTGATGAGCAAGTTGACGGGCCAGCACTCCGAGGCCGCGGCGTACGAGTTCACGACATTGACGTCCGTTCCGGGTCAGGTCACTTACAATGGTACGTTTTGACAGATTTTATGTGGTTCGGGACGACGATATGGCAAGAGAAAAGGAACGAGGAAGTGAAAGGTCGAAAACGCTGACATTCTGTTGCGTTCCTCAGGTGCGCCGCTGCAAATCATTGATTTGCCGGGTATCATTGAAGGAGCCAAGGACGGCCGCGGTCGTGGTCGCCAGGTCATCGCCGTCGCAAAGACGTGCCATCTCATCTTCATCGTCCTGGACGTCAACAAGCCCCTGACGGATAAGCGTGTCATCGAGACGGAACTCGAAGGCTTCGGCATCCGCATCAACAAGTCGCCGCCAAACATCACCTTCAAGAAGAAGGAAAAGGGCGGCCTCAACATCACGAGCACCGTGCCCCTCACCCACATTGATCACGACGAGATCAAGGCCGTTATGAACGAGTACCGCATCAACTCGGCCGACATTGCCATTCGCTGCGACGCCACCGTTGACGACCTCATTGACGTCCTCGAGGCGAGGAGCAGAAACTACATCCCCGTCATCTACGTCCTCAACAAGATTGACGCCATCAGTATCGAGGAGCTCGACTTGCTCTACCGTATCCCGAACGCCGTGCCGATCAGTTCGGAGCAGGGCTGGAACATTGATGAGCTGATGGAGGCAATGTAAGGATTTTCTAACTTTGTCTTCCCCCTTGCCTTCATTTCCTCGTTAGCCGTCGGACCTTCGGCCGGTTCTCGCCTCCCGGAGCGACACGATCGTCGTCCACGACAAGGATGAACCCGCTACCCCTAAAATTGCACTCACGAGACCAGAGAAGCTAACGTTTTTGATTTTCTTTTCTTGGCGTATAGGTGGGATAAGCTCAAGCTGGTTCGCGTTTATACGAAGCCAAAGGGCAAACTGCCAGATTACTCTCAGCCCGTCGTGCTCCGCTCAAACAGGTGCACGGTCGAAGATTTCGTGAGTAGCCGGTCCTCCGCGTGACATTGCGTCTCGTCCCGAGCGAACCCGTGTCGTAGGGTGAACCTTCTTTTCTCTCCCCTGCGACAAAGGGGCGCGCGAAAGTTGGACGGACGGAAGCGCATATTGCTGCGGCTTGCTCTTGCTCGCTACGCTTAGCTAACCGGTTCGTGTTTCCGTCTAGTGTAACCAAATTCACAGGAGTATCCTCGAACAGTTCAAGACCGCCATTGTGTACGGCAAGTCCGTAAAGCATCAGCCTCAGCGCGTCGGTCTATCTCATGAGCTAGCCGACGAGGATATCGGTACGTTTTCATCTTGTGTCGAGGATTCCCCCCACCAATCCTTAGTTTCCCTGGTCGTCGTCGTCGTCGCCGTCGTCGTCATCATCATCATCTCAAAACCTTCATTTGCCCCCGCGAACTACTCTACAAGAGCCGGCGAGGAAAGGAAGCGTGCCTCAAGTCAAGTGAAGTTCGGTTAAGGAAAAGCAAAACAATGGCACTAACATCTCCAAACTACTCGCAGTCACAATCGTCAAGCGCTGACGAACGCGGCGACGAGCTAAAACTCGGCGGCGCATGGCGGCCGTTTGTCGTCATGCTTCTCCCCACGCCGCCTCAAAATGCCTTGCCTGGCCAAGGAGAAACAAGCCCAGCCCAGCCCAGACCCAGACTTTCAGCCCGCCTTCGGGGTCCTCCTCGTCCGCAAACCCCCCATTTTGGCGAAGGGAACACAAAATTCAAGCCACTTGCCTCTTTCCTCCGCCATCCTCCCCCCTCCACGCCCCCTTCCCTCCAAGTTACCATCTTACTCGAGTCCCGATTCCATGGCATCGTGTGCAAACTCAAAAGAAAAGAAAAAGGAGAAGCACGTTACCCTACCTCCTTTCAAAAGCGAACAGTGAAACGAAAGGAACCGGCCGACCCCTACTGCATCTTACGCGCGTAAGCTCTAAGCCAAGGCCGGGAAACACAATGGCACTGTTTGGTTGCGACTCTCTCTCCTTTTCCCAAAGGAACAAGGCTGAGCTGGGCGAGTAAAAGAGTGTGTGGGGTTTTTGCAGTCTTGGTACGCTACCTACTTTTCCTTACCGAGCATGGGATGTGGGAATGTGTGTTGGCCGCAAGCAGACATTTCGTGGCGGGTGGGGGGGGGGGGGGGGGGGGGTGGGGGTGGTGGGGGTGTGGTGGTTGTGGGTGTGTGTGGGCTTTGGTTGCGGGGGGGGGGGGGGGGGGGGGGGGGGGGGGGGGGGGGGGGGGGGGGGGGGGGGGGGGGGGGGGGGGGGGGGAGGGGGAGGTTAAAGCTCCCCCCTTTGATGGGCGGCGTCGAGGCATCTTCCCTGCTCTCTATCTTGTTTTCTTGCCGCCGAGATTTCGATGGGAGACGGGAGCTGGGGAGGGATGGAAGGATGGATGGGAGGATGTGTGTTTGACGGGGATCAAGGGCGACGTTGGTTTCTGCAGTCCAGGCAAGCGTTTACACGGTATCACCATGCTGCTTTTTGCATTACAGAGGAGAGACGAAGATACAGAGATGAAAAGGAAGGGAGGGAAAAGGGGTGGTGGGAGTTCAGGCTTGCAACAAAAAAAAAGTGATTTGTTCTCAATCAAAACGGCTTCTGGCAGCAGAGAGAGAGAGAAAAAAAAACAATGTTCATCTTCATCTTTGTTGCGTTCAAATCGTTTTTCCCATCTCCACCTGGGGTATCCTTCAACTAGGAAACAAACATTGTACCATTGTATGCGATCATTGTAACGAATTTGGGTTGGATTGGGAGCGGATGGACCGGTCCAGTTCGCGCGTTAGGGTCCAGACTCCCACGGTACGGTAGTGAAGCCAAAGCCCACACTACCTAGACACTTGACTGCCCATCCCGTCCATAACAGTTCGAGTGATCCGTGGTTCCCATCCTCGCCGCGAAGCCGTCGGGCACTAAAGGCTGGCTGCCGGGCGGCGCGTGCCTGACAGGACAAGCCCGCCGTGCCGCCTAAGGGGGAAAAAAGAGAGAAGGGCTCTCTTGCCAGTCTCCAACCCGTGTGGATACGGAGGAGCGTGGCTTCTTTTTCGTTAGCCAGCCGTGCCAGCCTCGCGCTCGTGCGTGCGTGCACGGCACCGCCATCATCTTGCGCCGTCCGCTTTCGCGTGGCTGCCCTTCAAAATGTCGTCGTCGAAGGGGGCGAAAAGCGAGATTCTGGATGGAGTACGGATATAGATAGACTGTCGTTGGAAAGCTGCCCCCATCCCCGCCCCGTCCCTACCCCACACGCGCCACCATCTGAAGTTCACCCAGCAGCAGCAACTCAATGGGAGAATAAGTCACGGAGCCCAAATCGTGGGCGAACCTGCATAGCCGAGGGCCTCTTGTGATGCGGCCGCAGATGCCTCCCAAGAGAAGCGTGGGTTGCATATTCTTCTTTCTGCAAGAAGGCTCAACGCATGTGTCCGTACCGGGCGTGTATCCCCTTGGCCAGCTTGCACTACTTTGCTCCGCGTGCGAATGGGAAAGGAAGAGGTGGTGGAAGAGAGACAGAGAAAGGAACTAGAGCAATGAGTAGCGTGGACGAGACCATGCAGCTTCCGCGCGCACACACCTCTACCAACACACACACACACACACACACACACACACACATATCCGCAGACACACACACTTCGTCTTCTGCCTCACTCCTCCTACAGGGCATGGGGTGACAGGCAGAGGAGGGGTGGGGGATGGCGGGCGGGTGTGTGGGTGAGCCAGACGGGGGACTCCCTGGATCGAGGGCAACGTCGGCGCTTAAAGCAGAGCTAAGACGACACCCTTTCTCTGCTCTCTGCAATGCTGCTCTTCATAACTCCGCCTTTTCTTCTGTCCTCTCATCCCGTTGCTGCTGACGCTTGTCTCGAGACGGACTCGGCACTACCTACTGGCGCGATGCACTTCACTGCAATTCCCCGACGAGAAACGTGCCCGGCGGAATGACAGCAGCCACGGACCTGGTTTTCCTCAGTAGAACGAAAATAAAAGAGGGGGGATGGAGGGCTTCACCACCAGTCAGATGCGAATCCTCCTCTTCCGCCTGCCTTTCACAGGGCTTGCTTTACCGCCCATGTCTCGCGGTCTCTTTTATCTCCCCTTCCTCTCGCAAGTCCCGATTTTTGTTTGCTAATGCTGGGCGGGACGTGCTAGTTGGTGGTGGGTCGGCCGCGGCCTTCGCAGCGAGCCGTGATCTCATCTCATCTTATCCTCGGAGGATGATGGGAGGAGCTTGGACGAGGGGTCCCGGGTCCGAGTCCGCGATATGCGAAGCAAGGAAAGGTCGATTGCGGAGTATGGTAGCAGTCGACATCCATCCAGCGATCTTGGCCCTTTCGTCTCGAGTTCGACTCGAGATTGCTTGCGAGCAGATGAGTGTGTCCGTACCTTGCATCAGATACAGATGAGGCGAACGGCGGGCGATAGGACACAGACCACGGGAGAACGGCTGCAGGGAAGGGTAAATAGGCGCAGGGGCAACACAGACGGCGGCGGCGGCGGATGCTGCGCTGCAATGTTGCTCGTGCTGCCCAGGTCCCCTGCTCGCTCCAAGGCGACATGAGTCGACCAGCCCAGTCAGTTCCAGCGGGTTTTGGGGGAGGGCTCGGGAACAAGCAAGCTGCGCTCCACCCGAGCACTGACGCAGCTCTCATCTCCTAGACTCCTCCTAGATTGCTGCTCCAAAGGGCAGAGTTGGTAGAGGACGTCTCGTGCGTGCAGGCGTAGGTGGTACTTTCAAAAAGACCAAATGCAGCCTTGATCGGAGGTAGTCTACCAATGGACCAGGCGCTGAAGCAGGCGTCGAGGAGGGCAATGACTAATTGGCATCTTGCCCATCATGTTCCTCGAGACATGAGAACGTGGATGCGGTCATCCGCTGTGTCAAATGAAAGTCCTCGTGTCTGGCTAAATTCCCAAAGCCCGAGCTTCTCATGGCTTGAAACAATGGCTTGGTTGTGAATTCCTGCTACTTCGACCAGGTAGAGCAGCTAAACGTGATTAGCCACGGCTGACAGCCACTGACGAGGCGAGTACCAGAGCCTGAGATTTTCCCTCGTATCCGAAAGCTTCTGAAATAAAGTTGATGGGCAGACTACTCTCGCCGTCGTACTAGCATGGCTTCAATACCTAGTGATATCGTCAGCCTGGCTAAGACGCGTCAGTCATGAACTCATGGAAAACCCTTACACTACCTAGCGGCGGGAAGATGCCAAGGGAAAGATGGAGTAGATGGGTCTCCGAATCAGCCTTCTTTCCTGTTTAGTATATTCCCCGGCCCGCCCATCATCATTATGCATGTTGATTGCCCAACGTTGTCGTGAAATGAGAGCCCATTCTCATGACTGATGCGAAGCTACGGTTAGAGCGATCAGATACTGCTTCGGGTGAGGGTTGAGTCGGGGATGCTGTGGTATCAATTCAGCCTGGCCTAGGATACCGTCGGCAGGGCCCGCTTCAAATTGAGAACGGCGCACGTTGCGGGCCACCGCGGGTGGATGCTGGTCGACCCTGGATCGCAACCTGGATCATGCCCCAATCATAGTTGTACCTTCCGGCCATACTCTCCTCTCCGTTGAGGTAGGTATTCACATTTGCGCGCCATTGCGTCGAGGCTTGGCCAGACCATCCGTTTAACGAAGCCTTTCGTAGATGGACCCACGGCTTAGCAAGTCTTTGTATCCGTACGTGACCATCTGGCCAACTGAGAATCAGTCTGGGTCTCTCAGTGGCCTCGCTAGGACCGCCTCATGCGAAAGAAATCTTTTCCATCCAATGACCAGCCCGAAGCTGGTGACGAATCCGGAATTTATGTCCAATGGGAATACCGAAAACGATTTGAGCGCTGCTGTTGGTCAGCAATCCTTCTTCAACTCTGGTTCCCTAGACCGAAATGGCGCTTGTGCTTGTCTTCTGACTGCCATATCAAGTCTTGTGACGACTGCAAAGGTGGTCATGGAGCTGGAGCTACCCAGAGATCAATGGAGTTCAATGCCTCACAAGAGTGGACCGGATATGGGCGAGTATCCCCTGTTCTTGACCCATTGGTTGTAAAATGAATGTAAAGGTCCGGCCTATGATGAGCTAGCCAGATCTATCCAAACTGTATCGACTCAAATCTCCAACCGCATGACCGCGGCAGCTCAATTGAATGGGAGATGGGCCACAAGATGGACGGCATGGACCGGCGATCTAACCGAGTACAACAAGCTATGATTAATAGCGAGAGCATTGCGTTCAGCGTTGGAAGAAGGGGAGGCGCCCATCGCGATTGCCTGGCCGTCCAACGAGGGGCGTTGGCTGTTGAGCGACGCTCCACGATGAGTGTGACGGTGGTGGATGCCAATTCCATGAATGTTGGATTGCGTCGCGAGGAGTCCTTGTATCTTCTACGGAAAGCTGTCGGGAACGGCTTTGGCGATGTCGTGGCGGGTGCGTCAGAGTGGTTCGGTTAGTTCTTAGTTCAACATCGGGCAGCAGCAAGGCTTGACAGACTGCCATTGACGTCGCATATCAAACTTGAAATTAGAGATCAAAGCGTTCAGCAGACCTTGGCCTGTTTGACGTCGGAATTCTGGTGGGATTTGAGTGTTCGCAAATGGATTTTGGCGGGAGGTGGTTTGAAGTAATCAGACCAGACTGAAGAGGCCCCTGTGGTAGAATGCATTGATCGCCATAAACTGCCGCAGACGTTTATGCTGGCAACGCCCGGTTGACTTGATTTGAACAGACCGAGGCTGACAAAATGGCACGCTATTTTGATACTTGCTGACAAGGGCCTGAGGGTTGCTCGAAAGGCGATAGCAGTCCGCGAGTGAACGACAGGATATCCGCAACAGGTTCTACGTCTATCAAACCACACCCCCTCCCTAGACGGTCAATGGCCTTGTATCCGTACTTTGAACGGCTCAGAGAAGGGTGGGACGTCGGGGTTGCCCCCCTGCCCTGACAACGCCAGACAGGGATGGGTCAGGTCGCCGGCGGGCCATTTCTCGTAGCATCAGTCGATCGCTTGACAGCTTTGACGGACCAGAGACAACCAAGCAGGCTTGTTACTTGTACGGCGTGGTAGGGTCGGGGCGATGTATCCGCGAGGCGTTTGCGAGTTGGGGGACTAGATTTGGAGAAGGGCGAGAGCAAGAGGGGAAAGGCAAGTTTCGCGGTTGGCGTGCGGCGTGCCGAGTTAGGCGCAAATTGAATCGGTGAGAGAGAATACCATCTATACAGCTCTGAGCTAATAGGCCGTGGTGGGAACAAGGTGCGATAGGAGGTCAATGTGGCACGGAAGGCGCCTCTTGGTAAAGTATTCGCGCATCGCAGGCTCTTGGACTCGTATCCATGGAGGAATGGCGAATCGAGGTTATAACGAAGTGTCGGTCAGGAATCAGGATGGGTATCCGTAGCGGGAGTGTCAGATGATGAGGCCGTTGAGTGGATGTGTTTCTGGCAGGTCGTTCACATTGTATTCGTCCATCGTCCAAAGGTAGCTTGGTTGGGATGGAGTGTACGGATAGCTTGGTGGGAGCGGCTGGAGACATGGAGGCAGGCGGCCGAGCGGTCGAATGAAAGTGTAAGGTGCCGAGGGACTAAGGCAGCGGGAAGGTAAAAAAGTTGGAGCCCCGATCCAGTCAGGGTCTTTGAAGTGCAAATGAGACTGCTACTGGCTCGCTGTAAATGCCCCTGCGACGATGTCTGAGTAAGGTATTCATACGGAGGACGGAGTAGAAGATGCTTGTTGACAAAATGGGAAGAGTGTACTTCGTGAAGCAGGAGAAAGAGAGCCAGGCGAGCATCCATGAAATTGAAGGCATGGAGCTTCATGAGTCGCAATGAAGGAGCATTGGGCAGCGATGGCCCTATGAGAAGCAACAGCAGCAAAAGACGACCCCTCATAAGCTGGCCGGGGTATCATGGAAATGGAAGGCAAGAACGGGACGGGACCTTGGTGGTTTACCACTTGCTACTTCCTTTTTTTTTCCTTTGCTCTCCGCTCAGGGCAGGCAGGTCCCCCGGTCACCAAGTGTTTCTGTCCATCTCTTGCCCTCCACTGTTTGAGCTTTGAAGCTCGTTCATTCGGGGAAGGTACGGACCATGGCGGTAAAAGGTGGACCCGTATGCTTGAAGTGGGTCCGCCGTGAGGTTAAGAAGGCGGAAGGTCAAGGTCTTCCTGCCACCCTGGAGCAGCAGCTTGAGATGGGAAGGAAGCAAGGATTGCAGAGCTCACAGTGCACATGTTGCTCCTGCTCTCTCTTGAGTGAGAGTCTCCTTCCCCCTGCTCAGATATCCCTGCCCCGTGCGTCCTTAGGGCTTGTGGTGGAGCAGGGAATGGACGGGTGAGCCAGTCAACGCTTGCCCGCCGGTCCACTGCCCAAGATGGGACGACGTTGTTTCCTTCCTTTCCTTTTGGCGTCCGTATCCGTCCAAGTCGTTTCCTTCCATGCCGCCCGTTCATCTCAGGTCGACTCCAAAAGACGGGCAGGTCTGAATCATCCGCGTGCTGAGGCAGGCACGGCAGACACCTTATCCAAGACCACTTCTCCGAGAAACATGGCACTGGTATGGAACCGAAGCGAGGAATGCAAGTACCGTTACATGTCAGATACCTCAATGTTCCATTCCAGACTTCAACCACGTACCTTGACAGGCTTTAGGTAAGCTGTCTTCAGTTGACAATAGAACCGTCAGGAAATGCGTTACTGCCCAGCCTTCGGCAGCTACCTCTGCACGCTTTCCTTAGCTTCCATACCCTTTTCACCCTGGGGAACAGCTAGATACTAAGAAATAGAAACGGCGGCTTCATCTACGAATGCCAGACTAACACCCTTTCTCATTTACTTCTCCATGTCTCGTTTTTTGCCTCGTCTCGTCTCGTTCTACTTACTCACTTGTCATATTGGGATGATCCCTCCATCCGCCATCGCTCACACTACTCCGTAGGGATACCTCAACGTTCCGCCTTGTCCTGGCAATATCCCCACGCAAGCCGCCGCACCGTTCATCTATATCCCCCTCTTCTCAATCTAACCCCTTGTCGGGGCAACACTCGCCAGTACCTACCGGTACTTCGTACCCATCGCGGAAGCAGAGGGAAGGGCAGAAGAGAGGAGAGGAACCGACCGTCACACCATGTATGAATACCTACCTTACTACGGCGAGCGAGCAAGGCAACGAACCCGCTCTTCTCGCCTAGGCCCCGTCTCCTACTAACCCGATCTTGCTCTCAGTCTCTCCTCTCACGCAACTATAGCTCGTCAAGGGTGCAAATGCTCCGTCCGTCTTTGGATCAAGACCTCTCGTCGTCTCTTTTCCGGCCACTACCTACACAGCACTCCAGTGAGCATGTTTCCTAGTGCGTGTGTGTGTGCGTGTCGTGTGGGTGGTAATCTCAGCGCAAAGCAGGTCCTGATGTCAGCTAATTGGCGCGCGATTCTTCCGTTTCTCGACCCCGACTCGGCTTTTCCTGATTATTGAGCACCCAAGCAACCGTTTTCTGTAACATCTCGCTTTCCCCCTTTCCTTTTTTTTCTTCCCATCCGTCGGCTCCAGGCTCGTTGTCGTCTGCCATTGTATTCCTTGGGTGTTACAAATTCGGCTTTTTCTACAGAATCTCTCCAATCCGCACCTCCGGGCCCTCCATCCCATCTGCTGTCATCATCTAGCATGAGGCCGACAGACTCAGCTCCACAACCCAGGGGCCAAGGATATGGCTAATCTCGACTCTCAAGAGGCCAGAAGCAGCCGCAAGCCGCAAGAGAGGGCAGCATATTTCGCCCCGAGTGGCTAGTAGCCGTTCGCCTACCAGCCAGCGTTGGGGGAATAATAAGACATCAGCAAAGTCGAGGCGAGCCGCGAGGCCAGGTCTAGACAAGGCGCTATAGGACGAGACGAGACGAGACGAGACGGAAGCAAATCAGCATCCCAACTAGTGTCTGTGTGTGGCTTGTCCCATTCCCGTCGACAGCGTTTTCCATATGGTCCGTCGTTTCTTCCCATGCGGCAACGGAGACAAACTGAGCCAGTGGCTTCTTCTAGCTCCTCCTCAATACTCTAGCCGTGGCGGTTGTCAGTGGTCTAGACATGAATTCTAGGCCGACTATGATGTCTTCATTGATGAAAACACTCACACCATCGCAGAAGATACGCAACCTCGTCAACGTCAACAATCATCCCCCATTTGCCTGGAACTCAGTTTTACGGCATTTGCCTTGTCCCCGTTTTTCTCTCTTTGACTCTCTCATTCAATCCCGCCGGTTGCGAGGGATCTCTTTACTGCCCTCGCGGAACCATTCTCCATTCTACTCTGTCTCATTCCCTGCCAATATCATGATGCTTCATGCATAAGACGGTGCTGTACTCGAGTCCTGACGTCGCACCTTTGCGGCTTTACCATTCTCTTAGGCCTATCACAACCACTCTCGTTGCCGGGCGCTTTCTTCTGACGGGCAAGTTGCATTTGCATTCTCATTGTCTTGATCAACACATCGCTCATCAACCAGACTTTCACCTGGCCGACGTTGCGCGTGTCTACTCTTTTCCTCCATCGCCTCTCAACGCCTACCTAATGACCACGCGGTTGTGGTACGTAGAGAACTTCATCTTATCCTTCGTAAGGTCTGGTTTACTGCCACACACCCCGAGGGGCCGAGTCGAGACCCCGGCTCTACTGAGATTCAATCATACCCACCACACCCCCAGGAGAAGACGAGACACACACCCCAGACCCTTGCCGGTAGTGTACTTACATGGGCATGGGAAGCATCCGCCGTCGCTTTGCCTGCAGAGCTTCTACATATGTACACTGCGGCCCACCGCCGCCCACACAACCTTCATCCTTCCGTGCGCCTGATACCTAGTATTACTATCTAGACAAGCCCGCCTACCCCAACCTCGACCTGCTAGCTTTGTCCTTCAAGCCTTGCCTTGTGCGTCGCGGCGTCTGATTCTTGCAGCATACCGCTGTCTGATTCACCCCTTCTGAGTGGCCCGATCCGACTTTCCAGTCCTGTCAGGCTCGTTCGCCATCACCCTCAACTGGTCGACCGAATAGACAGACAAGCCTTCTCCCCAGGAACAGCACTCTTTCAATAGTCGATCATCCCTCAAACATCCCTCTTTCCTCCCATCCTTAGTTTATCGTTGCGAGGCGTGTCTTCGCCAGCACCCGACCAACTCGCCAAAGACCGGCACAACAACCTGAGCCCGGTTAATCCAGGTAGTTTCAACCCGTAATACGGTCAGGAAACCCTCTAGAACAGACTCTGGGTACTCGCTGGGGGTTCTTGATACGGCAGAGAACCAACTTGGCGGTTGCCGCGACAGGAAAGGGTTGTTGGTGTTGCACCCGCATTCTAAGCACGACCTCAAACTCCAACTCCAGAACCCGCACACCAGACCGGCACTTCTCGTTTAAGGAACCCACGGAGAGACATACGGCTAGCTGGCCCTCCAACTCATAGACGACGTTGCCCCCGACACCTCTCTGCAGCCTGCAACGCACTTGCATCGAGTCACCCTGAGAGGCCCAGGGCTTCTTGACCTACAAAGCAGACCGCCTGCACAGCGCGCTTTCAGGAACCAATTGGCCACCTCTGCCATGCATGGTGTCTTCCTTTCTTGAAGCCAAACCCACCAACATCTGTCGGGACCAGCAATCCCCACCCTTGGCCTGAGTGTCATCCCATCAGTCAAGGCGAAGCCTTCGGCGGAACCCCTCCTCGCAATCACCAACCTGGAACCTGGACTTTACGACAACAGGCCAGCCAGACAGTCTCGTTTTGAGTACTGCCAAGTTGGATTTTGGGGATCGAATACGCATCTTACAGTTATATAAGCAATGAACAACTCCATCGTGGGGACTGCCACCATGGACCAGGACAACCACCTCACCCAGGACGAAGACACCCATATGGGTCACAATCACACAACCTTCGGCGCCGAGAGCTGGGGAGATATGAGTCCATACGGCCATCAGAACAGCATGTCGGATTTCGGAGGTTTCACGTTCATGCCATCAGTCACCCATGGATTACCGTCTGAGTCAATCGGCAGAATGCCTCCTCCGCCAGCTCCTGTGCAGCCGATGCAGACTCATCAACAACAGTCTCATGCCCAGCTACCGATGCTCATGATCCCTTCTCAGCCAACGTGGCCCAGCATGTTGACCAACCCCAACAGCTATTCGGCACCTCCCTTGGGAATGGCACCCGTCGTTGCCCCAACCCCTTCAAGGCCTACACGGCTGACAAACGGCCCGCAGCCGCAACAGCGAAGGGTCTTGACCGACGACGACCGGAAAAAAATGTGTCAGTATGCTGCTGAGCATCCCAACGTGAAGCAGACGGATATCGGCGCCATGTTTGGCGTTGAACGAAGGTGGGTTCAAGCATGTGCATGAAGAGTGCGTTGAAGTTCTAACCTTGACATCCCAGCACCGTATCAAAGGTTCTACGCAACAAAGAGAAGTACCTGAACCCGGAGGCGGACAGAAGTCAATCTCCCGCTGGCAGGCGGCACACCAAGGGAAAGTTTCCTGACATCGATCGGGCTGTTGCGGCATGGGTCAGGAGACAGCAACAAGTCGGATTAACACCTAGCGACGATGAGATTCTCGATCAAGCAAAGCACTTTTCTCGTACCACCAACGGCGGACCTGAGGCCAGCCAGATGAAGTCCATCAACACCACTTGGTTGGAGAGGTTCAAGCAGAGGAACATTCTGGTATCAGGGAAGCTCTTGCGAAGAGCATCGGAAACGAACATCACAGACCACGCGAAACTATCTGGCTCTCCCTCTCTTGGAGCATCCGGCATCTCACCGGCATCGCCAACAGGACACCCATCTCCACTTTCGGCCGACAGAAGTGATGAGGACGCTGTTCACGGTCTCGGTTTTGTCGGATATGGTGATAGCGGCGCCTACAAACACACCAACTCGCAAAGCACTACGTCTCTCAACAGCGCGTTAACCGATGCGGGAAACTCGTCCTTCTCGGGAAGTGCGATGAGTCCCACCGCCACATTTACATTCTCCCCTGACCCCAACGCCGGCCAGTTCCTCCCCAACGATACGTCACGCCAACTGCATGGAGGGGCTGCTTCAAACTTTCAGAGACCAAGAAGCCAAACCTTTCCCACTCTCGATCTGGAGTACATGAACCAGGCCGCATCAACCGAGCCCATGACTCCCAAGTATCACCCGGCGTCTACGGCGCCTTCTTCTGCTTTGGAATCGCCGGTTCACGAAATGGCAGCACCCCACTTTGGCCTAGATACCGCCATTACTTCATCGCCGCATCTGCACCACAGCAGCAGCAACAGTAGCATGGCTGGTCGATCAGCCACGACTCCAGCCGGGTCATCTCCGACATCACCGACACAAGAGGATGCTCGAAAAGCTGCGGACACATTGCTGAGTTACATCCAAAGCACCAATGGGGGAGCCTTGTTGGACCAAACGGAGTATGTGGTGATGGTCAGGTTGACGGAGAAATTGCGCCTACAACAGCATCAGCTTGCGAAATCCGGGGTACCTCAATCCCTAGGCATTTTGGACCGGATACCTGAAGGAGACACCGAGATGGCACCGCAACACGTTCACTCAATGTCGCTAGGGGTCAAGTCCGAGCCCGTCGTAACTCAATGAACACCCGGCCTGATGCTTCGGCAAATCACTTTGCAAAGCAAAATCATATCAGCTCGCGTATAATCTCCTTTTTCGGCAAGAATATTATTCGTCATTCTTCAAGGCGTTTGTTTGTTTGTTTGCTTTGATTCTGGACTGGATTGGGAAACAGGCCATCCCGCGCATGGCATGCGTGGGCATCTACAACAGGACGACGACCTTCATTTTGGTCTCACCAATCTCTAGACCCGACGAGAGTTCTGCAAAGAGCACATCCCCCTCGCCGGGACCGGATTTCCGATTTTTGGGAAAACTAAAGCCCACTTCACAATGGCGATACCTATCATGGGGAATATGACACCCCAGGAATACACGGTCAATGTCTCACGACAGCCCCGAGGCTTTTCTCGATTGGATCTTGAGGCTTCAGACTTCGCGACAATAATCTCGGGCGCCTGTGTCTTCCCACCACCGGTCCACAGTCTCACGACAGTTGGAAATATGGGCAAGTAATTATAACTTATCAATACAGGACCGGGGTGGACACTGGCCAGAGACAACGGCGCGGAGACATTTTCTCTATTACCTTGAAACAACAGCATCACTATTATCCATCCCATTCGAAACTTCAGTCGAGACATCCATATACCCCATTCTTATCGACGCTCACGCTCCCCTCGAGGGAAGACCATTCCGCTCACGCGAAACACCGCAAAATTCTCCATGCGCCACATCGATTCAAGCCTGGTTTTCGATAGTCATCTTTTTCTTACTCTCTCTCTTTTTCTGGTCCATATCTGTCTCTCTCCATAGTTTCCCCGAGCACGAAATTCGCAACCATTTCACCATTTTGATACTGTATTATCCTAGCCTTCTCTTATACACTCTCTGCATCTGTGAGGCGACAAGGATAGGAAGTAAGGAGAGGATTCCGGTTGGTTGGGAGGTGGCCGGTCAGCCAGGCACGGTATCTACAAGGGGCGGGTGTCACGGAAAGGGGCAAAGGCTTTTTGAGCCGGGCACGGGTTATCATAATTGATCAACGGGCTAGGAACGAAGAAAGGCGAGAGGTCGAGAAGGCACACACAAGACAGAGGGATGCTCAAGGAACGTTAAGGGGAAAAGGCACGATGCGACACGTACGCAAAGACTCATCATCTAGCCCCGGCCAAAGAGTCTGCGTGGGAAAAAAAAAACGAAAAAAAGGGTGGCCCCTTTTGCATTTGATTTCCTAGGGATATGCCCCTTTTTTTCCTTCTTCATTCTCTCCCTCTTGCCCCCCCTCTCGACCAGTTTGCGAATATACGAACATCACAAAACCATTTTCTCTTGCCTTTCACGATCAAAAGTGCGTTTGTGACTGGCCCCGACCATGTGTCATGTTCTGAGGTTCCGATGAGGAACATTATCTAAGAAGGAATGCACTGCTTCATCATGCGGAATTACAAAATGCGTTTTTCAGACTAACAAGGGTATCTAAAACAGGCAGAAAGGCATAGAAACTCATTCATAATTTATCCGTCACAGACTCAGACGCTCCTCCCAGAGTTCAACGACGCCCTTCTCCACCAGCTCCGGCATCAGTCTCACCAGAATCAGCTCCAGGATGCTGTACACCAAGTGCTTATTGCAGTATTCGTCTGAGAAGATATCGAGTATGCTCTCTTCGATCTCGGCCAGCATTCGCTGCTGATCCTCGTCCTCATTCTCTTTACTTTCATTACCTAAATCATTAGTTCTGTTCCCGTTAGTGGCATCACCCCTGCCAGGAACATCGGCCTCGCTCTCGCTCATGGGCAAAGGAGCAGCATCATCAGCAGCACCAGGCCTTGACTCCGGTCCGGACCGCCACCGGAAGCCAAGGCCTCGCCCGCCTAGATACAGGCCAGCCAACCAGGGCGGGATGCTGGCTAGCATGGCGCTAGCGCACCTGCGGCGTAAGGAACGCAGCTCCTCGTCGGAAGAGGGGGCCACCAAGGTCGAGACGCCGGGGGCGTTGTTGGGGAAGAGAGCGGCGCGGATGGAGCGGAGAATGGTTGGCAGTAATGCGGCGTCGAGAAGACGTTGGTGAATGGTGTGCGAAATGAGCCTGTATTTCGACGCGGCAAGCGCTCCATGTCAGCTTCTTCCCGGGTATGCTTCCGACTCGGACAGTCGCGACGGTCAAGTGTGTGGGGGGTTGCAGGGGCTTTTGTGTGAACCGACAAAGGGAAGCAACGATCTGCGGGAGGGGAAGTGAGAGAAGGAGGGATGTCAGGAAAGGAATGGAGACGGCTAGGTCAAGGTGACACGAGGTTGAGAGCAGGGGTAGCTGAGCGCCCCCCCCCCCCCGATGACGAGATTGCGACGGATGTTGTTGTCTTTGGTTGTTGAGATGGCTCAATGGCTTCCTGGATTGACGAGCAGGTGTATCTGGATTTTGAGGCCCTTTGCTGGCGATGGGGACAGTCTAGAAGGCTCTGATTTGGTCCTGTAGTCGAAGGCGCGTGGATGATATTGGTCTTAATGTCGAGATGTGTTCCTTCCATTGCGGTGAGGTGTATGTGAGCACATGGCAATGCGCAGAGACCCGGAAATGCCAGCCGGGATACAGCTAAGCTCCCAAGCTTGAGTCCGCCCAGCTTCGCATCGGTCCATGGAGGGCAGGCAATTAGGCGCTGAGCGGGGACCGGCAAGCTGCTAGCCCGTTTTTCGGGACGGATCGAGTGACTGCCCATGGCCTGGACCGTTCCGGCCTGATTATACGCATCGGCTGGCGGTCAGGGACGGAAGCTTGCGATCAGCCCAAACATGACCAGATGGTGAAAGAGGCCGCGCAGGTAGGATTTGCGTCCCGATATGCGAGGCCGCTTTCACCACCGACTTCGCAGCGGGGCGTCAGGAGGCGAGCAGGACTGATAGCTTTCCGTAGGTGACCAAGCGTCGTATTTTCGTAGGCGTGCGCTGGGCAAAGAAGATGACGGTGATGAAAATGAACCCCTGCAAAATGATGCTCGCTGTTGGACTTGGGCGCGTAAATGAGGCTTGCTGGTGGATGGAAGCGCAGCCCCGCGAGGGCCCATCGAGCAATCGGAGGCGAGCAAAGTTGACGCCTGCTGCGATTGGTCGGAAGCCACGAGGTCCTTGGGATGCAACCGCATGTTTTGAGGATTCGGGGGGACGAGGTCAAGTCAGGGTTGGGTCGCAGAATGGGCCAGGTGTGAATGTCACACAGCATATTTCGGCTTTTTCGCGCAGTCCTGCAAGAGACTCGACCCCCATCGCTGCGTGCACCCCAAGGTGTGTGTCGCCATAGCCCGTATCAACTCATTCACAAATCCATCCCCAGTGCAGCCAACTAGGCTGTCGTGGGAAAAGCCATCCCGTCTCACTCACTCGCCTGACGGGGCGCTGCTGATTGCTCACTGGAGCTGGTTAAGATCCAGTGACCTGAACCTCATGCGGTGTGACGTGAGATTGCTAGAGAAGGGGAGGGAGAAACAAAGTGATGGTTGCCTACCTGTCCATGGCTCCATTGAGACCAGCAATACGTCCTGGGCCGCTCATTGCCCCGAGCTGGAAAAGTGACATGATTCCACTCAACCAAGGCATGCGAGAGTCCATTTCGATCAAATCTGCTACGCAACTCCACAGCTTGAAGGCAGCAATGGGTGTTTTGACAGGCTGCCCTTCGTTCGAGCTAGCTGGAGGATTCAACGTCTTCGAATGCGATATTTGACCAGTCGCTTGGTCCTTTTCATTCAGCTCGCCGTCTAACCTTGGTGGCAGGGATGAAGACATTGCGAGAGTGATGACGAGGAAGCGGACAGTCGAGAAAGCGAGAAATGACCATTGTACGAGCGACCAGAACGCGCCCTGAATGGACCAACTGCGGCGAACAGGCCTGGGGAGGGCGGATGTTGACCCGGCCTGCAACGCCTCCGCCACTCCCTCTTCGATAGGCTCTGATGCTTTCCTGTCGAGAACTCTGGTGAGGATGATAAATATTTCGTAAATGAGCCATGGTTGCGAAAGACGATTGGCGAGGACGTTGCCAATGATGAGCTCGGAAAAGATTTGGCCAACCAGAGAGGTCAAGCAATCGTTTTCGAGGTCTTCGGTCGGTAGGAGAACAGCCAGGACGCCCTGTACCAACAGCTGACGATAAAGCGTCTCGTTCTCTTGCTGTCTCGCAACAGACGAGGGGTCTTCGGGGCGAGGTATGGGCGTCAAAGGAGCCAAAGGGCATAGTGAATGATAGATTTCTCGTGGGTCTATTTCAGTTGGTGGTCGAGACACCGGATCATGCGCCGCGCGGTAGGCTATCGAGTGGACGTTAGTGAAAGACTGGCCTAATAATTTGCATGTCTTGACTCACCGAGGATATGTCTATCCAGTAAATCGGGAAGCTCGTCAAACAAAAGGCTCTCGAGGTCGACTTCTCGCAATCTCTGCTCCAGGGCCCTTGTACAATGGGCGATTATTTGGACGACTTCGTCTACAAAAGTGTCATCGGGTGTGATTTTGCTGTACCACACTTGTACGTATTCCCTCAGAATCACAGATATGAGTGCGTATAGCTGAAGATCGACATCGTTTCGGCTGGTCAGGGGTGGCAGTAGTTCCTCGATCGGGGACGGTGTTGCCCTCCCCCTTTCGGCGAGGTGCTTGGAGCACAGGACACGGCGGATGAAGGCGGCGGTTGCTTTGTCGGAGAGATAGTCTGTAGGAGTAGGTCGAGCAGATCGGCGAGCGGAAGGATTGGTCTGTAGCGGAGGGCGGGTTCGTTCGGCGCCGGGGGTGGCCAGAGGTGTAGGAGCGGCCGCGGCCGGATCGTTCAAGAAGCTGACGGTCGCGGGGGCTTTCGGTCGCGGCGTCGGAGCGCGAGGGGTAGCGACAGCTGCCATGGCCGTCTATGGTTGGCGCGACCACACTATCATGGTACGAAGCTTCGAAGTCTGTCGCGTGTAAGCCTTTGACGGTGGCAGTCAAAAGTCGCGAGAGTGAGCTGTCGTCAAGTTTGACTTGCAGCCAGCAAGATTTCGGACGACGCTGATCTGTGAGGTGGTCGAGTGACAGCAGGCGGAAACTGGGGACCTGCCCCCCGGTACTGGTCGGTTACAAGGAAGGGCTTGTCTCCCGTTGCAGGTGCGTTTAGCGGCTCAATGGCCGTGGCCCTGTGCTCTGCAGGCCGCTAGGACCGCCAGGGCGGGCGCCTTACATAAGGTACCTTGCCTTAAGTCCCTTCCATTCCATTAAGGAGGCACCTGCCGGAGTGGCCCGCATCTGCAGAGGACAACCCGGCACTTGCCCCGGCCACCGGACCCGACCTGCCGGAACATTTGACAACGCATGCGCTTGTCTTGCCTTGCTAATGCGAGTTAGCCTACCTACCTTGTCTTTGGTGCAAGGTTGGCGCAACAGAAAACGTCGAGAATCGCCCCATCTTAGCACAGCTCAGTAGCATGACTGAACTACGCACATGTTCAAGTCGAATCCCGAGCAGCGTTATACTTAACCGTAGCTGCCCTTCACTCTGTGATCTTCGTGCGTCATGATCCTCGCAGTATCTTCGGTACAGATCATACAATTCTTGGATCGGACAGTCAGTCATGAAGAGGAGGTAGGACACATTTTACAGCAAAATTGATTACAGAGTCGACTTGGTCTTGATTTTTCTCCCCCCTTTCGTGTTATACAATGCACATGCCGGTGAGTATGATACACTTATTTACAGAACCTCTATAAGTGGTCCAACTTCATTCCCATTTTGATTCATCAGCAATATGATGAGCGTCTACTCGTCATCCTTCTTAGTCGTCTCATACCTAGGCATTCCTTGTTAGCGACCGACCACATCAATGGCGACTGTGCATTGCATACCTCTTTCCACGGAACGCCCACACTCCCCAATTTCCACAGCTGACGTCCTGGGGATCCAGGTCATTCAGATCCCACCTCAAGCTGCGGAAAAGGTTTTCGCCAGGCTCCAACAGAACATCAAACTCGCCAGCAGCGGTCTTTCTGACCCATTCGATATCTCTCTCCATATCAAACTGGGTGTAACCTGTAGCAATGATCGGGACCTTGGTCTCCAGAAGCATAGGAAGCGTCTCGGTCCACTCGTGGCTGCTTGCGGGATGGCCCAAACCAGGATGGAAGAGGCAGAAGCAGTCAAAGTACGGGTCGTAAGGCGCAAAGTATCCGGTCTTATGGATGGTGTGGTAGTAGTCCACGATGGTGCTGATCTTCATCTTGTGCGATATCCGGTCCTCGATTACCATACCAAATGGGTTCTCGGGCGTCCGCTGCGGCAGAGGGAATTCATCGTCTCGGTTAGCCATGCTTTCGGGGCCAATGAAGATCAGATGAATCTTGCTCTCTGGGAAGAGATGAGCAAGCTGGAGCCAGACGTTTCTGGGCAGGGATGATTCGGCACGCGCTCCCAAGCAGAAGACTCTCACGGGAGGTGCCTCAGGACGAAGTTCCTTCATGGTAGTACCCTTCCCGGAAAGAGGAGGATGAAGAGTATACCGCAAAGCTGCCTTCTTGTCAGCTCATCGCACTCGTGAATTATGCAACTAACTCACCACTCAAACTCTTCAAACCCTCGCTCGTCAACCTCTCCCCCTGCTTGACGCTGTAAGGGCTCAACTCATGCAGAACACTGCCAATTGTGATGGGGTATGTGAGCATCTTCGTGACCTGTCGCATGCTGCGCTCATCATTGATAGCCTCGAACTCGCGGCTGTACATGAAGGTGTCCCAGTTGGTCATGTTGACGACCGCCTCGGGCATCTGATCATCTGCCATAACGAACTCCGGGAAGGTCCGGCCAGATCGTAGGTCATGGTCATCCTCGTTGATCTCCCTCAAAGTATCGCAGATCTCGAGGTGAGCCTCGTAATCGTCCATCCAGTGCTCCTTGCTACAGGAGACGGGAATTCCACAATCAGGACACTCGAAATCGACATGCGCCGGCGCCAGCTGACCCGTTTGCGATTGCTTCTCCTCGCCATGGGGTGCGACAGTCGGAACCCTTGTCGCGCGATGATCGGGGTGAGAACAGTAGGCATGTTGGCGCATGAAAGCCGCACGTCGTCGAATCTCCGGGATGGGTGAATTCGTGAAAGAGTGGAACAGGTCGTCTGATCGGAGCTTGGGGGTCGACGATTCGTTGGCAGAGGGCTTTACAGCAGCCGCCTCGCTCGAGGCTTTCGGGGACGAAGAGAATTGTCTTGTGGGCACATTGTTGGCCTTCGATCTCCTAGAAACGGTGGAATGGAGGCTTCGGGTCGAGTGGGCTGATGCGATGCGAGGGGTGATTCTAGGGACTCCGTTGGCAATCAATTGCCTTCTCAATGCTGCAGAGCATTGCCCGCAAGCGCTTGACGCTGCTCTTCTGAAAGCCGGCTCCATAACGCCCGATGGTATACGTAAGTCCAGTAAGTCCAGTTGCAGCCTGCGTTGACACCAAGAATACTCCCTCTCTCACAAGCTTCCAGAGAGCTCTGTATCGACGACGGGGCCGACCCGAAATTTCGGGGGGCTCGGATCAACAAGATGCCGACGCCGCGGGTCTCCACCACGCAGGTCTCAGGCGCCAAGTGGGAACCTGGAGCTTCTGAAATTTCGTGCTGGAGCTTTCCAGCCTCCCAACCCACCATCGCTCCAAAAACACCATCGCGTCTTCTGCATCGCCCATCCATTCGAGCTCTAATTTTGAGGCCGCGCAGGCTATCTGCGCTCACCTGCAAACATGGCGACGACCTCGAACATGTTTCTTTACTCCCTGACCCTTCAATCGCCTACCAATGTCACACAGGCGGTGCTGGGTCAGTTTTCTGGCACCAAGGAGCAGAACATTGTGACAGCATCGGGGTCGCGATTGACTTTGCTTCGCCCGGATCCGTCACAGGGGAAGGTCATTACGCTCCTCTCGCACGATATTTTCGGCATCATCAGGTCTATGGCCGCCTTCCGCTTGGCTGGAAGCAACAAAGGTATGTCTCGTGTCCCACATTCCATTTTAAGCTTCACTTAGTGATTTGAGAAGCTTGCCGGTCGCGACAGGTGTCAATGCAGTCAATGTCGCTCGACCTCGGATGTGAGACTTGATTGCCAAAGGACTTTGCTGACCTTGCGTCAAGACTATCTCATCCTTGCGACTGACTCTGGAAGGATCACAATCGTCGAGTACATTCCAGCGCAGAATCGGTTTCAGCGTCTGCATCTGGAGACTTTTGGCAAGTCTGGGGTACGACGAGTTATACCTGGAGAATATCTTGCATGCGATCCGAAAGGCAGAGCGTGTATGATCGCGTCAGTCGAGAAGAATAAGCTCGTATACGTCCTCAACCGCAATTCGCAGGCCGAGCTCACGATCTCTTCGCCTCTCGAGGCACACAAGCCCGGAGTCCTGGTGCTATGCATGGTCGCGTTGGACGTCGGCTATGCCAACCCAGTCTTTGCTGCGCTCGAGATCGAATACACTGAGGCAGACCAAGATCCTACAGGAGAGGCAGCTCGGGAAGCAGAGACTCAGCTGGTGTACTATGAGTTGGACTTGGGATTGAACCACGTCGTCCGGAAATGGTCCGAACCCGTCGATCCCACGGCTTCGCTGCTGTTCCAAGTCCCAGGTGGTCAAGATGGCCCCAGTGGAGTCTTGGTTTGTGGAGAGGAAAACATCACATACAGGCACTCCAACCAGGAAGCCTTCCGTGTGCCCATTCCGCGCCGAAGAGGTGCAACGGAAGACCCGTCCAGGAAGCGGCACGTGGTGTCTGGCGTCATGCACAAACTGAAAGGTAGTGCCGGCGCCTTTTTCTTCCTCTTGCAGACTGAAGATGGGGACCTTTTCAAGGCGACCCTCGATATGGTTGAGGATGCAGATGGCAATCCCACCGGCGAAGTGAAGCGGCTTAAGATCAAGTACTTCGACACGGTGCCGGTATCATCTAGCCTCTGCATTCTCAAGAGCGGTTTCCTCTACGCTGCCAGCCAATTTGGCAACCACCAATTCTACCAGTTCGAGAAGCTCGGAGACGACGACGAGGAACTGGAATTCTCAAGCGACAACTTCCCAACAGACCCTAGGGCTGGTTACGAAGCGGTCTACTTCCACCCCAGACCGCTGGAGAATCTTGCTTCAGTCGAGAGCATTGACTCCATGAACCCCCTTCTCGACTGTAAGGTGGCCAACCTGACTGGTGAGGATGCGCCACAAATCTACACAGCCTGCGGCAACGGTGCCCGTAGCACATTCAGGATGTTGAAGCATGGCTTGGAAGTCAACGAGATTGTGGCGTCCGAACTGCCCGGCATCCCTTCGGCGGTTTGGACTCTCAAGCTGAGCCGCGGCGATCAATACGATGCGTATATTGTGCTATCTTTCACCAACGGAACTCTGGTTTTGAGTATCGGTGAAACGGTAGAGGAGGTCAGTGATTCCGGTTTCCTGACATCTGTGCCGACTTTGGCAGCACAGTTATTGGGCGAAGACGGCCTCATTCAGGTCCATCCCAAAGGCATTCGTCACATCCGACATGGCCAAGTCAACGAATGGGCCGCACCGCAGCACAGATCCATTGTCGCGGCAACCACCAACGAGCATCAGGTAGCAGTGGCACTCAGCTCGGGTGAGATTGTCTATTTCGAAATGGATGGTGATGGATCCCTTGCCGAGTACGATGAGAAGAAGGAAATGTTCGGAACTGTCACATGTCTGAGCTTGGGTGAAATCCCCGAAGGACGCCTGCGAAGTTCGTTCCTGGCTGTGGGCTGTGATGACAGCACTGTACGTGTCCTGTCGTTAGACCCCGAGTCGACGCTGGAGAGCAAGTCAGTCCAAGCCTTGACTGCTCCTCCATCATCCCTTGCAATCATTGCCATGGATGACTCCTCGTCCGGAGGCTCAACACTCTACCTCCACATCGGCCTTCACTCTGGTGTCTACCTCCGTACAGTGTTGGACGAAATCACTGGAGAGCTTACGGATACGAGGCAGAAGTTCCTCGGTCCCAAGCCGGTGCGGCTTTTCCAAGCTACTGTTCAAGGACGGACCTGCGTGATAGGGTTGAGCTCCCGTCCGTGGCTTGGCTATTCTGATCCCATCACTCGAGGCTTCCTGGTGACGCCACTGAACTACGTTGACCTCGAATGGGTCTGGAATTTCAGCAGCGAGCAGTGCGAAGAAGGTGTCGTTGGCATTCAGGGCCAATCATTAAGGTAAGCAAGCATCATGAGTTTCTTAGCTCGTTTCCTTTACATGACATGATGAGAAATTTGGGATCCTATGCCAAAGCGCCATGAGGTCTTACGCAACATACCAATTGTTCCTACTGAGTCATTCTTCAGCCTTGTTATTTTCTGCATGCAAATTCTTTTGATCAATAACTGACGCAGAGGATTAGAATCTTTGCCATTGAGAACCTAGGAGACACCATTACACAAAAGTCGATACCCCTCACCTACACTCCGCGACGTCTACTCAAGCATCCTGAACACCCCATGTTTTACACGGTCGAGGCAGACAACAACACGCTGCCACCTGACCTACGGGCCAAGCTCATCGCAGAACCTGGTGTCGTCAATGGCGATGCTGTGGTGCTCCCGCCTGACGAATTCGGGTACCCTAAGGGCAAAGGCCGCTGGGCTTCTTGCATCAGCGTCATCGATCCCTTATCAGAGGATCAGCGAGTTCTGCAGACTGTTGACCTTGACAACAACGAAGCAGCTGTCAGCGCTGCGATCGTGTCGTTTGCCAGCCAGGACAACGAAAGCTTCCTGATTGTTGGCACCGGTAAGGACATGGTTGTCAACCCTCGCCAGTTCTCTGAAGGCTACATCCACGTCTACCGCTTCAGCGAGGATGGCCACGAGCTAGAGTTCATTCACAAAACAAAGGTTGAAGAGCCTCCGTCAGCGCTCCTTGGCTTCCAAGGCAGACTACTCGCGGGCGTTGGCAAGACCTTGAGGATTTATGACCTCGGCCTGAGACAGATGCTCAGAAAGGCCCAAGCCGACGTAGCTCCGCAGTTGATTGTGTCTCTGAGCACGCAAGGAAGCCGTATCGTCGTCGGTGACGTCCAGCATGGCATCACATACGTCGTCTACAAGGCGACGACTAACAAGCTCATTCCCTTTGTCGACGACACCATCTCCAGGTGGGTTACGTGCACCGCAATGGTGGACTACGAATCGGTTGTTGGAGGCGACAAGTTTGGCAACATGTTCCTCGTCCGCTGCCCTGAGAAGGCAAGTCAAGAAGCCGACGAGGAGTCAGGCGGTCTTCATCTCCTCAACACGAGAGACTATCTCCACGGCACACCACACCGTCTGAACCTCCTAGGCCACTCCTACACTCAAGATGTTCCTACCAGCATCACCAAAACAAGCTTGGTCGTCGGTGGCCAGGACATTCTACTCTGGAGCGGTATCAACGGTACTATCGGCGTCTTCATTCCATTCGTGACCCGCGAGGACGTGGACTTCTTCCAGAATCTCGAGCAGCACATGCGTACCGAGGACGCGCCGCTCGCCGGAAGGGATCACCTCATGTACCGTGGTTACTACGTCCCCGTCAAGGGCGTCATTGATGGTGATTTATGTGAGAGGTACACCCTTCTGCCTAGCGAAAAGAAGCAGATGATTGCCGGTGAACTTGACCGCTCAGTGAGAGAGATTGAGAGGAAGATTTCAGACATTCGAACAAGATCTGCCTTCTAAGGGCTTCCTTGGCCGGGAGGGGTTTTTGTTTTTTTCTATTTGCGGACACATTCACCGATCGAGTACATCTCGCATAGGAGGTATCGGGATATGTCACGTGTATTGTGTACAAAGCGTTACAACGGTATATGGTAGCGGCGTTTTCATACAGGCCAAACAGAGCCATACAGATGGTTGAGGACATGATGACGACGCAATGAAGAAGAGCTCTAATAATACCAAAAGTGCCCAAACGCCCGTTCCCAATTTCCGTTTCGCAACCAGTGAACCTACGTGGGCAAACAAATCGAGTTCCCACTCATCCGACTCCGTACATCCAACCCCTGTTACGCAGATCCCCTCCAAAACGGGCCCCGATTCCGCGGTGCAGCTTTGGACTTGTTCTTCCCCCTGCTGCCGCCGCCGCCGTCCTGGACGGGATGACTCTTCTCCCACGCCTCGTCGTCGGCGTACGCCTCCATGGCGGCGGCGAGGTCGTAGCCGACCTGCTCGAGGTACAGGACGGCGACGTCGTAGTCGGAGACTTTGCAGCCCGTCATGAAGCGGCGGATGCGGCTCTTGCGCAGCTCCTCTTCCTCGCCCTCGACGGGTCGCGGGGAGAGGCTGACGCCGGCGGCGTAGTAGGCGCCCGGGACGAGAACGGTGCGGCGGCCGTGGAGAAGATGGTCGCTGGTGATGTTGTTGCTGCGGCGGAGGACGGCGGCGGGGACGCCGTAGCGGAGGGAGAGGGAGGCGATTGTGTCCGTGTCGTGGTTTAGGAAGTGGAGGGTGTCTTCGGGGGGCGTGGCGGTTGAGGAGGAGGAGCCGCTGCTCTTTTCGTTGAGTTCTTCGTCGACTCCGGCGTCGGGTGAGGTGTATGTGTAGGGCGGGGGCGGGGCCGCCGGGGCGCCGGAGGAGAGGTGGTGGGTTGGCGGGACAGAGGTGTACGACGGCGGGTCTTTGAGGTTCGGGGGCAGCACTGAGGGCGCTGTGGATGTCTGGCAGTATGGGCAGTAGGATGCGAAGCGGGTGTTTTCCTGTATTACTGGTCAGCGTTCTGTTTCCAGTGGCGGGATTGGTGATATGAGCATTTGTCCAGCGGACGCACATGGATACAGTTCCCGCAGATTACACGAGCGCAGCACTCGAGTCGCCTATCGTCCGGGAGAGGCTTCTCGGTGACAGCGCTGTACCTCGGCACGGAGCTGAGCAGCTTCGCGCAGGTGCAGCAAGCTTCGTCGGATGGATTTATGGTTGCGTCGGTGACCTTCATGATTTTTGAAGATGGACGACGGGGGTTTACGATTATTTCGCTTCTTCGTCTACCTTGAGTATTCCCAACAAGACGGTCAGGAAAGCCTGCATGACGCGTTTCCTGCGAATTCAAGGAGGTGTCGACGGGCCGGGAAGTTGCGTGAACCTTAGTCCGCAACGATGAGCCGTTGAACGGCCTGGTGTCACGGGCTCTCTCCCCCCGCTGTCTTGCCACCCCCACTACTCCGCACCGCCACCGCGGCCGAGTCGGCCGGCGTTTCGACTGACGTCTTCCATCCGATCGGGCATTTTTGCTAAGGTAGCCACTGATAAGCGAGCACAGAGTGATCGGGTGGCTCGTACTTCGTGTAAGACGATGGTAACCCTTTCACGCTTGATCAATTCCCGAACTGATGATGGATGTGCCTGGACTACGAAATCGATTCTTTCAACGACACACTTCACTTGGTGCAATATGACCTCAGATAGAGGTGCGTATGAATATTCTGAGTCTACTTGACGCGCGGTGTAAAAAGGGGTTCAAAAAATGGCGAAAGACTTCATGATGGAAAGTATCTTGAGTAGCTAGGCAATTGACGAAAACCTTGCAACGTGTTCCCCAAGCTGACAGCATTCCAAAGGAGGGGCTTGCGGGATTGCCTCATACTTTTGCTTTCCCATCGTTCCTGTGCATCGCCTTGCGTGACTTCGACCGGCTGTCGATTGTGCTCATATCGAACCATCGGCAGCCAGCCAGCTCTCAATTCACATGTAGTCATTTCTCAGCGTGACCGAGACTAACTGAGAATATAGCATTTCGATGAAGCGTGGAAGATGATGCCTGAACGCGGAAAAGGAGAAGCATAGTGAACAAAAGAAAAGCGATCATCCATAGGGAATCGAACAAAAGGTTAGGTTGAGTGAGGCTCGACGGTTTCTGAGTTAGTACATCGACTCCCCCAGGTACCCCTCGACCACGTTCCCCTTGTGCCTCTTATGACTGGAGACGAGATGAATTGACCGAAGTACCTCGATTCCTCCCTTCCTGGAGGCAGTGGCTGAATATAAGCTGGACGGTATACGTATACTGAACACGCGGTGAACCTGACACAAGAGGAACTGATCAGGTGCTTGCAATATGAAAACATCATCATTACCTGATACGTACCAGCGAATACACAATCTCTCGATGATTCAGAACATGACTAGGTGAACGTGATACAACCAATTGCGCTCACGTTTTGCTCCGGTTCATGAACTGTGAGAAGCCCCCCAATATCTCAGCTCACCGGGAGCTTGCCCCCTATCATGAGAATAACGAGCGACCCGCCTTCGCTCGAAACCGCTCATTTCGTCCAGCCCATTCTCTAGATCTAGAAGCGTATCAAACTCCCTCGCCGAAATCACTCTACAAGCCGTTGAGAAACCACGTCACAGTTACCAAGCCATACGCCTCCTTGGCCTGTCCCAAGCCAAGCCTCTATACGTACGTACGTACGTCTGAACCAACAAGTCGAATCCCACACCCGGTCCAGACCCAAGGGCCCCTCGTCAACCAAGCCAACCGCCGTTCCGAAACCCCGTCTCTGCCGCCCGGACCTCCCGGTCTCTCTTCCCCAGCGTTCCGGAATCCATTCCCCGTCTACCCTCCCTTTTGGCTCTCCATCTATACACTTATACCTCCCAAACAGGCATCTCTCTTACAAACATTGCATACGGAAAGAGCAACAAGATAAAATCACAATCTCACGCGGATACCTGGAACAAGCCCCCATCTCTATAAAGTCAAGAAAAAGTCCTACTTACGTAATTCCCGGATGCCCTCGGTGGGAACAAACTGGGCCCTTCACGGGAAACCGAACCCAACCTCCTCTCTCTCTCCGCCCCCAAATGATCCATCTCCCGCAGTCACGGTGGACCAACAGCTCAGCTTCGAACGGGTTATCATTAGGTCATGGAAACGTCCACATGCCCCCGGTCACAAAAAAACAGGACGCACAAAAGCGTAACCCACTGCGGAGTATACGGAGTAGTAGCAGGGCAGCAACAAAAATTGCAATCACTCAAATCAAACGAAACGGGGGGCGGCGCTGCCCCAGATTCTTTTCCCCGTCTTTTTAATATCAATCTCGCAAAGGTTCCAGACGGGGGGGCCAGCAGTCACACACGGCTGTTCCCATGCGTACACATTCCAGTAGACCCGCCCTTGCAAGGTAAGGCAGACAGGCGGGCAGGTTCCATGTCAGCGAGTGCCGAACTCAAAGCAATCACTTGTCCAAACAACCTCTCATACCCTCGGGGTCACAACATATGTTCTTACCAGCCCAGAATCTCGTATATGTCACTTCCAAGTCGGCTCACCGATCGGAATCCAAGGAAAACGCAAAGATTGTAGCTTTACCGCAAGAAAAATATAAGTCCCAAAAGCCTTGGAGATGGGGAAAAAAAGAAATTCACATGATTTCAAACCCTCTTACATTCTATGACCAAGAGGAATCCAGGAACACGCAGCTCGGACCAAGGAACACCTCCCCCCCCCCCCCCCCCCCCTTGGCCTCTCCCTCCCCTCATCCGGGCTCGTCCCCTTTCGATCCGAGTGAGAGCTCATCGTGACTCGTAATACTGAAGGAAACGACACACACCCAGAAAAACTTTGGTAAACCTGAAGCTCCCCAATCCCAAGGCTTTCTTGATACGCACATATCCCGTATGGTAACACCACGTGTCTTCATTCTCGAACCCACCAGGATAGAAGGCCCTTGGCCATTACCTAAACTCCCAATAACGACGTCACATGAATGCAACCAACACTGCATCCTTTGGTTCCAGATACCAAGAGACAGAGAGAAGACACCAATCGAAATACAGAAATGAAATCTGTAACAGTGAACACGCAATCCTCGCCAGCTTGCTCGTAATAATGACGCCTTTTACATAAAATAAGGTGTGTAAAGATATTCACAGTGAAGAGAAAAGTACACAAAAAAAGCTTGAGCAAAAATAAACGTCCCGATCAGGCGCCGGGTTTCATTCAGCTAGTCACTTCAACTCAATTCAAGCCAACAAAGTCTCTCATGTACGGAACCAAGTCCGAAACCCGTTCGCCCCGTCTTGTCCCAGACGCGCGGCAGCCACAAGTGGGCGCGGGTTTGTCCATTTCCCTCCCAGATGCCTCCGTGTTCCCGCACTTTCCGCCGTCGGCCGATCTGGACCCCACGGCCGGGAGGGCCTGTAGCAACGACATACCATCAGTCCCAAAACCGTATACACCTTGCAAATGATGAGTGACGCTGACTTCACAGAGAAGATTTCAACCAATATCCATTTCACCCAAGAGATAAAGACTCTGTCTTTTTTTTTTTTGAAATCCGAAATAGAAAAACTTTTTTTGGTTCCGCCTGTATCCTATACACCATCAAATATGCGATGTGTGAATGATGAAAAATAAACGCCATTAAAAACAACCGCGGGGTTCCATTGCGGAAAGCTTCCCGGCATATAAAAACATAAAAATAAGAGACAAGTACTGCAGGCCGCCAAACCTCCCGTGGGGTATTTCCGCCGCCCAGTTTTGACTGTCCAAATTTCGAAAGAGACAAAATGATTTGTTGGTAACTTTTTTATGTCGTGATCGCATTTCCCCGTAGATGACCGCACGGCGCGGGTATTGAAAGCCATCTTGATAATTTTTGTTTCCCCTCGCTAGTGTTTGTTGTAGTTAAGGACGCCGCTATAGGCTTCGCCCAGAAAACAATCTCGCCGTCCGAATGCTGATGTCGTGTCGTCTCGGGTATCGAGTTGTCTTCGCTCCTCGCAAACCTCCCATGTTCACATGATTAAACTTCTTTTTTTCTTTTTGAATCAAAGACAGCGACCATGTAGGCCTTGATAAAACAAATTTGGACAGATCCTCCTCTTTGAACACAACGATCCCGGTCCACGTGCAGGTGTCGAGAATTTCGATTCTTTCACCGTGGGGGCGCAGGGTTACCGCATGTTGCTGGTATCGAAAGAGAATTGTGATGGGAAGGCCATGCTGGCGCTCAGCCCAAAGGGATCCCAATCAATGCCGGTATCCAAGAGCTGGGTCATGGAGGGATATGCACCCTGGGTCGTGTGGGTAGGTTGTGCTGGCTCGGCCTGAGACGTCATGTGCTGGCCGTGGCCGGGACCAACGGAGTTTGGCGAAGTCATCATATGCTGCGGTGCGTCGCCAGAGAAGCCGCTGGGATATGGCCCAGGCCCGCTTGGGGTGTCGATCTCGGAGTCTTCAATCATGTCCGCTGGAGCATCATACTCTTGTTCTAAGCTTGGTGTTAGGAACAAGACGGCAAAATTCATCAGTAAATAGCGCCGGTTGACTTACCTAGCTGCTCAATGTGGTTCTGGAACCCAGGTGTTGGGTAGTATGAACCGTTATTGCCGACGCGAGGAGGGCCTCCGGACATCATATGAGCTCGAGCGGCCGGGTTCATGGGACCCATGGGGCTGAGTTGAGACTTCATGGACGGTGCCATGCCAGGACGAAGCGGTCCGTGGTCAGAGGCTGCCGGTGAAAGAGCCTGCTGGCCTCCATACGGTGCCGTGCTTGATGGCGAGTTGGAGTGTGATGAAGGGGTGGGCCGGCCCTTTGGTGAAGCAGCAGAGTGGGCTGCTTGTATCGGCGGGGGCAGAGGGCTGATGCCGGGCTCCAGCTTCGGGGCGATGCTCGAATTGGATCGGCGAGACTGGTGATGTCGGTTCAGGATGGCTCGCTGGATAGGCGGTGGCTGGACCATATTTTGAGGAGCATGAGTCGGCCCCAAGTTGGGGCTGCCAGTTTTGGCACGAAGCTCAGCTTGAACATCGATGCCTAATGTACTGTTAATACTCGAGCATTCTCGACCAATTGACGGCGTGTCAACGTACCTTTCTCCAAGAGGATGCGTTCCAACAAGGAGTTTTTGTAGCGCAGCATCAGACACTCATCGGCAGCAGTGCGATGAGCGGCCTGAAGGTTGTGCAGGTTGGACTCATGAACACGAATGGCTTCCTCGAGCTGTTTGATGTACTCTGTGCGACGCTCGCGGAAGGCAGCTTGAGCCTGGCGGTTGCGTTGCTTACGCTCCTCGGAGGTGGCGTAGATCTTGGGGTATACAATTAGCCTTCCTCTTGAGTGGGAGTTGAGATAGGACCAAACAAGGTTTCGTCCCAGGTGAAACCTTAAGATTGTGTGACACAGACGAAAGTCTGGGGAAGTTGTGGTGTTGATAGAGAACAACAAACACCCGCAAAAGATCGCACACTTGAGTAAAGGTGTTGATGCTGAGATAGGCATTGAGGGAGTAAAGAGATACTCACAGGCTTACGGCCACCCTTTCGCTTTGGTTGCTGGCCCTCAGCAGCACCATTGGGATTATTTGAAGTGCCATTAGGCGCAGGCTGATGTTCGCCCTCGGGACTAGAACCCACGGTCTCTGGAGTATCCTCCTTGACGGGATCTTTGTTGTCGATGGACATCTTATCTGCCATGCCTTATCTGGTCCGGGGGTTGAGGCAGGTTGCCGGTCGGCGTTGGCGGCAGCGGCAGCGTGAGCGGCAGCGGCAACGCAAGCACGGGAGGATCTGTATCTGGATCTGGATCTGTAGATAGGACGCCGTTGTGACGTCGCGTGTTCCACACTCCCAGCCCTACGATGTTCTGGAAGTGTTCGTTGTATGGGTGTTTGGCACTTCTCGCGCGTGGTTGCGGGCGCAAAAGAGATGACAAGCAGGGACGGGGTCGTAAAAAATTGCCCGAAAAAGGGATATCCGGGGGAGAAGTTGCCAGTGGCGCCTACGAGCGCCCGCACGAGAATTGGGGCGAAACCGCCAGCGTGGTAGAGGGACTTTGAAAGGGTGGGAGAATCTAAACAGCCGCGAGATAAGGTACGGAGCGGTGCGCTGCTGAGACTGTGACTGGGGGGAAAGGCATCCAAGCGGGCGCAATTGAGCTTCAGTTGAATCTTTGACAGCTTGTTTTTGCCAGCCCAGAGATAAGGGACGCAGCGATGAGAGGTTGCAGTGTGTAAGGAAATGGAAGAGAGCGGCGGTCTTTTATGTAATGATAATAAACTGGCAGCTTGAGGGGGGGCGCACTCCAGCCATTCGCCTAGACCCAGACTTTGCGGCTTGCCAGACACCACCGAGCAGGGCCGCCGGCGTGGGAGTGGGCGTGCAGCGACGAGCGGAGAGGGGTGAGGGATGAGGGATGGATGGGATGGAATGGGTGACTGGTGACTGTGAGAAGAGACGGTGGGGATGGAGGGGATTCAAGGAGGAGGAGGGGGGTGTGGTGAGTACGGATACGTGTGAGTGACCCTCTTGAGAGGAGAGATCAGGAGAAGACTTCCGACTGTGAGAGAGAGGGAACGAGGGGGTGTGTGGGGAACAGGCTGTAGGCCAAGCTTGACCGGGTCGTTGTTCCTGTTAAAAAGGACGGGATGTTCTGCTTCACAACGTCCACACAACTTGACAGGATGGGACCTGCTTGTCTCTTCTCTTTTCCTTGCGGTTTGTGTGTCTTGGTTCTCTCCCACGGTCTTCCCCACGTTTTGGTGCAGATGCTGTGCAGACACACAGACAACCGGATGTTCAATTCGTATGGGTGAGAGGGTCAGGTCAGGCCTCTTTCTCTCACCTAGGGTCTCTGTCACTGGTTGTCTCGATCTTTCTAGACCAAGCACACACACACACACACACACAAACACACACACCACACACAGTTATGAGAGCTGAGTGGCTGGTTGAGTTGGATTGGTGGTG